CCTCATCCAGCCGAGGTGTTTCACAGACAGATAAAATCAGTCGGAGCCCTGGGGAGTGGAACAAATCCTCACGCTGCCTTTCCTGAAACTCTCTTTTTTCATACATTTGAGACAAAAATTCACCATATAACAGGATTCACAAGTTAATCCTGTGAGCTGTGACAGATGGATTAATAATTTTAAAGATCAGTATCTGGCCTTCAAAGCAAGAAACCCCAAAAACCTGCGCTGTTTTCAGTGATGTGATCAAGACACAAAACCAAGGGCTGTTCTGTTTGCAGTGAATTGGAGACAGATGACTTGTACATGTACGTCTGAATGTTTGTTTGACTTTCACATTTAGGTAAGTTTGATTCACTGTACTGCCTCCAGTCAGAAACCACAAAATGCATTTATATTAGCATATAATGACCATGTATATTGCAAATAGAGGAAGTTCTTTAAGTTGAGCGCCTCGTCACTGTCAGTGGATCAGGTCCAGTTTGTCTCTTGATGACATCACAGAGTCCTACCTCTACTATTTACATGAATATTACACTGTTTTTCTACTTCACCATCACATCAGAGGATTGCAGTCATCTCATATAGCAGATTTTTTCTATTGCTAATTAAGCCATGCGTGTCTGTCTTAGTGCATATGTGTGTCTGTGTGTGTGTTAATTCACTGCCATTAGGCTGGAAGGAAACACTTTTCCCTTAGAGTGTATTTTAAGGATTAAGATAAAGAGACTTTAACAAGGTGCCATTATCGCTTCCCCACACTCTCTCCCGTGTACATTGAACAGTCCGTGCAGGTTGTTACAGTCGAGATGGATATCAGCCAGAGAACTGTTTAATAAACTGTGTGTGTTTATGCTGTACTTAATTGAATTTTAAAGTGATGATATACAGACAAAATCTTTTCCTGAAATTGTCCCTAAAAATGTTCCTACATCATTACTTCACTGAGAGAACCACAGATGTGATGTGATTTTATTTATTTATTTCTGTATTTAGCAGTCTATGCACTGACTTACAAAAATTGGTAAATCCAAATCATAAAAATGTTCTGCTGTCCTCAGATTGCAGGAAATTACCTAAATATACCAGCCACCTGTGCCCTCAAATAACTCAAGGTACCAATTACACATGACTTAAATCCTGAGATAAACGCTGCTATACAATCTCAAGAGGGCAGAATTACAGCAAATATGAAAATGTCCCAATCTAATTATCATTAAGGCAGGTTGTGGTTCGTGGCTAAATGAGGTCAGTCTCATGGCAACACGGCGACACATAGGCTTCAATAATGACCTCTTCCACCGACACGTGTGTCACAAAGACTGGTGGAAATGTTTGCGTGGCAGCTGTCCGCATGTCCGATATGTTCAATTGACCTCCCGATCAGAGCAGGTAGAAAGAGAGGCAGACACACAGAGAAAGAGAGGAGGGTGGTTTGTAGTTGAAGTGGCTGTTAGTGTCGACGCCCATTGCTGGCAATTACACACAATCAATCCGAGAGCTGCAGACCTGCTCCTCTGTACAATGGAACCCCGCGCGCAGTAGAACCTGGGGGTGAGGCCCGCGAGCCGTTCAAGTGCGTGCAGCTGCACGCGCTCCAGAGAAAGCTCACTTCCCCTGCAATTAGCTACTCATTTCAGTTTTAACAATGAAAAACTGGTTTATTATCAGCTCCTCTGGCAGTCGTTTCGGTTTAAAAAAATTGGCGTCCATTTTTGGGGTTATTATTTATTGGTGTCTGAAGTGGCTCTGAGAAGTTATTTTCTCCTAATTGTCAGGGTTATCTTGATTTGACAGATTTACCCGAGACTTGAATGGCACTTCACTGTTGCAGCCCACCACACAAAATGACCCGCGGTTTAATTATGCAGGCTCCTTGTTATTACAGATTTGACTTAAACGTTTTATGTGAGTTCAGCAAACTGAATGCAGTTCCTTGCTGTGCTCCCTTTACACTTCAACCTGCGGTTTGTAGATTATTTCTTTTCCTTCTTTGAACACAGGTCAGACATTTAGAAAAACAAAATTAGTTTTCATCCAAACTTTGTTTCTAGTACCATTACTAACACAAGTTCTCAATAATTTCAAATTATATCTTTCCAACAGATGACTCGGAACATGAGTGGATTGTGCGCACTTGTCGGAAAGCGTGGGATGAGGTTGTTGGCATTGATCCTGAAAAATCTCCTTCAATCAGACCTGAAGAGACCAGCAATATTAAATGATAGACCTGCTTTTTATTTTAGAACTGCACTTAACATTTTCTTTTTATTGATATTAAATCTATAGGAAATGTCTTGTCATGGTCTTGTCTTTGATTGTGTATAATGAGCGAAAATAGGCAATAGGTTCATGTGCACTGTTTATGTTATTTTTTTTATAACCTTGTAGGAGTTGCTCTCAGTGCATTTCCATAACATTATGTGTGTGTGTGTGTGTGTGTGTGTGTGTGTGTGTGAGAGAGAGAGAGAGAGAGAGAGAGAGAGAGAGAGGTTCATTTATTTAAACCCATCCAAAAAAAAAAGATGTTTTAACCTGATCAAATCAAATTTCTAAACCTGAATTGACACTGATGTGATTGTTCAACATAAACACACTTTTGATTTTTGATGCAGTTTTTATCCTTGATATCAGTTACAAGCATATTGAAATGTTCCTTCATACAAAGATATAGCCTACATAATATTTAAAGTAAAAAATCAATCATGGAAACATCCCCATTCTATGCATAAATAAACAGCTTCAGTTCAGTTATCAAATGAATATTTTAATACTAAAGGTGTGAAATTGTCAGAGTTTTCATATATCCACGAAGATGTGTGCATGTTGTCTGAAATGAAATATTCCAAATAATGTCTAATGCTAATGTGCAGGTAATGATAAAAGTGCACAGGTCTGCAGAGTGAGGATCATGCATTCATTAAAAACCAAACTCTTTAAAATATTAGCACCATGAACTGTTTTTAGTAGATAATCTGTTGTATTACGAATGCACCTCATCCTAAACAACTTTAGCTTTTGTTAAAAATTGAAAATAACATCAATAAATGAAATTAATAACACATTGAGTCTTTTAAAGGCAGCAGTCTTTTGTACAAAGAGAATCTTTCCCATTATGCACCCTTCCAGCTTAATGACAAATACACACTACATACACAAAAAATGCACGCATCCACACACACACACACACACACACACACACACACACACCAGGATGCACACAATTATCCACAAAATAAAGGGCAAATACATACATGTGCCCACAACCAAAGAACTAAACATGCACCCCAGCCACAATCACAATCACAGTAGAACATCATGCTTAATTAAAAAAAACACATTGAAGATGCAGTTACTTTATACGTATTGATTTTATTTGTATTTTTTGCCATTTAAAAATCCTTTTAATTATTGTACCCAACTTTCTTTGATTTGTGCCATATATTGTTTGGGAAAATAAAAGGGAAATATTGCTTTTACTAATTCATCCTCAGAAATGATCCAAAACCACAAAAATATCACATTCTATTTTATTGCAATTTAGTACACAAAACATTTATGATGCACAGTCTATCAAATAAACTTTTTGTTTCATTTCATGTTTTTTTAACAAAACAAAACATTTTCAGAGGGGGGGAAAGTGCTTTACAGGGATTTACCATCTCAATAAATACAAGGACATTGAGGTCTTGTTGGATCCTGTTCTTCACACATTGGCCATGGCACTAAAATACAGATGCACACGCTCTACAACTGCCAATACACACACACACACACACACACACACACACACACACCCACACACCCACACACACACACACACACACACACACAAACACACACACACACATCTTACTATGTACAACCCAGTCTGTTTTATATTGTCCATTTTGTACCAATACTCCATTTCCCTCCTTGTACGAAAGACACATGCACACAGAGGCTGAACGAACAACTTAAAAATCATAAATTAGTGACAATGCACCTGTTTGGAAATCTAAAAATATGTAACACGTTTTGTAGGAATGTGTAGTTTGACAAGTGTTCTCATCTCAGACTTCCCTCTGTTTCTGTCAGTTTGAAGAAATGTAACAGGATTGTGGCATCTTGAAATCTGTTAGCTCCTGCTTCTAATCTTACAGCCATAATTTACCAATACGCAACCCCAGACATTGTGCTTTGTGGTTTTCCTTCATGATAAGCAGTGAACATGCTACAATACATTTGTGATTTTCTACAAATGGAAGATTCCAATGGAAATTCTTGTAATTTCTCCTACACATGCAAATAAAAAAAGTCCAAATCTGTTTTTAGTGATGAATTACAGGCTAGAATTTAACTGCTGTAAACAACTACTGTTTCTTTTAATAATGGAAAAGATAAGGCACACAATATTTTCATATTTTAACAAAAAATCTAATTCTACACGTCATTTCAGTGGAAAATTTACCAAAAATGTAGCTGGGAAGTTTCTGTTTTTTGAGATGTCATATAGTTACTATGTCATTCCTAAAGGACATATTTCAACATATTTTGTTTACGTTTAGCTTTCCTTCATGGTTGCTTAGAGAGAAAAGAGGGAGGAGTCTTACCTCTAATGTGGTGTACTGTGTGTGCCTGGCCCTTGGGCCACAACGACAGTCCCCCCTTAAATTTTCCCCTTTTTGTTTATCTTCAGTTTTCTGACAGCACTTGAGAGGCTTCAGTCCTGCTTCCCTGATCAGTCTCATCCCTTTACAACTCCCTCCACCTTTAAGTCAGAGGGTGGATGAGTAAAGTGGAGGATGCTGTACACTTGAAGCAAAATGGGTCCTTTTGGCGGTGTAAAATATAGTCTGTGAGTTCCTGCTAATGATAAATGCTTCATGATCATTTTGTCAGACTGGATGCAGGTGGGATATTCATGTCCTCGGAGAGAAAAAAAAAAACAACCAAAAAAAAAAAACATTATGATGTTTTTCGGCTTTCTCCCATTTCTTTTTCTGTTTCCGAGTGGGCAGGGCTCCTGTAAGATTTGTCTTTTCTTCAGGCTGACTCCTGCTTGACCTCCGGGTCAGGTCGGTAGACGTCACTGATGGGAGATCAAGGGTTAGGGTTAGGGTCCGGAGGTTAGGGGTCATAAGGTTCATAGTGGAGTGCTAGCGGCTGAGGGGGAGCTGGGGCAGCGACATGGCCTGGTGAGGGAGACTCTGAGAAGTCAGCACAGAGAAGGGATGACCTGGAGAACATACAGGAAACACATAAAAAGGAGTTAAAAACAGCTAAATAAAGAAGACTCTGCTATAGAAAAGCAGCCAATAGTCATTAAATATGAAACTGAAATCTTTATGTGCTTATTTACCAAACTGTAAAAAAGTACAACTCACTGTCAATGTACCCGTGAAGGGCCACCATGCGCGCACGCTCAGGACTGCCGAAGGGGGAGTAATGCAGCTCATCGGGCAGGGACGAGGGTATCCTGGACTGGGGATGACCTTGCGGAGCCCCACTGTGCTGGGGCGTGTGCTTTTTGTGTCTTGCTCTGCAGTTTTGAAACCACACCTATGAAGACGCAATGTAACCAGACATCATGTAGCTATATTCTTTAATAGAATATCTTGAGTTATTTTGTGTTTTTAAAAATCATAAATGACAAAATGCAAATGCAAAACTCTGCACATGTAAACATATTAATATGAATGTACATACATGAACATATTACTGTAACATATTGACAGCTAACATAACCTGATCTTTTCTCATGGCTGGATCAAGCATGTAGGTCTTTTCATATTCTATTTCAATACATTTAGCTACAACCAAACTATAACATATGTGTGGATGTCTTCGAACTGACCTGTATTACTCTCCTGCTGAGGCCCGTCATGTCGGCTAGTTTCTGTAGTGTCTGGGCATCTGGGTTATTGTCCTGGGCAAACTGAGCCTGCATGATCTGCACATTGAGACAAAACATTAGCATCAAATCAAAATTCTGCTGAAATCCGTGTTTGAAAGACAGGATGAAATACTGTATTTAGGGTTAATGTTATTCACATTTGCAAAACAAGCTGCAAATTGTATCAGAAACAAGTCTTGTGTGTCTGACCTGTAGCTGTTCTGCAGTGAAGGATGTCCGTGCTCTTTTAGCCGGTTTGGGTTGACTGTCTTGTTCTGTTGGAACTGCTCCTTCTAACGTGATACCATTGCCTGAAAAACACAAGACAGTAATGTGATATGCAAGTCAGATTAGTTGTATTTTCATTTAAAGCAGCCAGAGATGTCCCATGAAACATATTTAAAACATAGGACTGAGACACTGTATCATAAAGCGACCTCAGTATTTTTTTTGTCTAATTTGGGATCCTACTTTTGAGAAACACAGTCTAGTCCTGAGCTCTTGTAACATGACCTGCTAATTCTGTGGGTATCCATCAGAACCACTGAGAAATCAGGAATAAACAGACCAGCTATAATATAAACCAATAATATAAATATTAATTTAAGTTAATACAAGACATAAGACATTATAGAATTTAATATTTAATGGATGTACTGAGAAAATAATGTGAAATATATTAAAATGCACAAATCTGGATAAATCCTGCTTCAGGAGCAGATTTTTGAGCAACCCTCTGGACAACCACTGAGAAGAATTGCAGTAAATTTTGCCACAACCACTACTCACCACTCTCAGCCGCTCGTTTGAGGTTCTCCACCATGGTGTCGTAGTGAATCCTACACAGGACCTTCTCCTCCACCAAACCAAACTCCTCTCCCGTGGACAGCTGCCTCTTACATGAGTAGCACGCAAAACATGCCAAGTGGTATGCGTTTCCCCTTGCGCGCCGCACCCAGTCGCTGGCGTATATCTGCCGCCCACAGCGGGCACACTTAGTACCAAACCTACTGTGAGGGAGAGAAAAAGAGACACAAGAGAAGCAGCAGAGAGAAACAGAATGAGGAATTATTGGTTTGTCGATGGGGTAAAAGCAACATCTCGGGAGAGAAAATTGCAGCAGTGGATGATCATATAAATCTTATCTCAGGGTCATTTCCAGATAGTACACACACAGAATTAAACATGTACAGACATTCTTTTCTTTGACAAGAAAGCTGGAGTTGAAAATGAGAGTTTTTAAACTTGACGTTTTGGCAGAACTCAAAGGGTTTAAGGAAGAAACCTTGGAGGAGGATGTGGCCTTCAGAAAAGACTCCTGACTGCGGCTGCAAGCTGAGCCTTGAATGCAAACAAACCAACACCTGCAATTTCCTGGCTGATGCATGAAGACCCTGACATGTACACATGCTCCCACACAAACACACACACACACACACACACACACACACACACACACACCAGGGAACAAACCAACACACACGTAAGCCAGGGTGGTTTTACACACAGTGGAAGATGAAGAAAGACTTGGATGACATCACTCTCGATCGCCCCGCTGTAACTGATAGCAACAGTGAGATCAGGCGGCATATAAACTAAAACCACCTGACCTACTGTTCTGGGTGGGTGGGGGTGGGTGGGAGGTTGAGGGGCACAGAGAGGGAGAAGATGAGAGATAAATGAACAGAAAGTTAGAGAGAGAGGTTAGGCAGGGAATAGCTAGGATATCAAGTTGTTGGGTCAGCTTGAAACAAGATATTAATGTCTGAAATAAACATGCTCCGCTCATTGGAAATATTTAAATTGCGGTAAATGTGACTGAGGACAGAATGAGACAAATACAAGGGTGAAAGAGCATAAGGGCAGAGTGGAACTGAAGGCTGCCATGGATTTAATTACACTAACATTCATGTTCTGTCATTTTTCTTACTGTCCACCAATCCTATGAAAAGAACAAACCCACTAATGCGTACCTCCCCCTATTTTTGACTTCCCTCCCTGCCTGTGGCACTCAGCCAAAATCTTTAAAAATGGGTCATAAATAGTTTCATTTTTCTTAAAAAAAGATGAATAATTTCCTTAAACAGCAGGGCCTTGTAGTTCTAGGAGGTTTTGTAGACAAACGTTACTCTAACATGAAAAAATAGTGCATTTGTCACGGACTATTTACAGCTGTGGATTAATACACATTTGGTGCTCTAAGAAGTATTTACATTAGCAGGACAGTCTATGTAGAATTGACTCCAAATAAACTACAGTGCCCATGTTCATTGTAATGAAACGACACGTGCAACAGTGTGACTCACTAATGTCTTTTTAATCGTTTCTGGACAACAGTGGAGCTCTATAGCACAGAGGAATAAGCTATATAAGGCTCTGGCTACACAGACAATACTCTGTTAGGTTTCGTCTTTTTTTGATTGTTGATCACCAAAACTATCTATCTATTGAGACAGGGTTCACTGAGCAGCTGCTGGCACTGTGAACTATCTGAAAAACCTCTACCTTCATGCAACTGAAACATCACACCAATTTCCTGTTTTATACAAAAATCAAAAGTGATCAAACCTGTCATTCAAAGAGCACATTATGGCTTTAATGAGTGTAAAACGTTTTGGTTTTGACGTGGTTATGGTTAGGCTAAGAGCCATTGTTGGGGTCAGCAGCTGCCAATTCTGGTGAAAGAGGCAAGATTTGTAAGCAGTCTGAGAAAGTGCTGCCTCAGGGGTAAAACTGGGGGCAAGAAGCATAAACAGGCACAAATTGTACAGCCAGCATTATATATATTTACATCTGGTTTCAGCTCAAATTGAAAGCATTTTCATGAACAGGCAATGACCCAGAAATCAAAAACTAATGGCTGACTCAATTTTTTTTCTGACAATTATACTAATATATGTTGCAATTGCTTCTTTATGCCGCCTTAAAGCAACAGAGCGATAAAAAGAAAAACACACAAACACACTATCACGAATATGAGCATAATTCAGACGAGCAGCCAGTAGTTTAACACTATGGAGGAGGCAAGAACTGCTGAGGGCATGGATCAGGATGAGAAGAGTAGATGAGGAGAGAGGTGGTAAGTGGCTGAGGCAGAGAGTTGTAGTGCTGAGGGAAATAGCAAAGTAAAGAGCGTCGATGGCAGGGAAGGAGCAGGATGACGGGGGTACAGGAGAGCACAAGGGTTGCCAAGTGAGTGGGTTTGGCAGCGCATCAGTGCACTCAAATCCACTCTATCTGGAATGAAAGCATACTATAGCCCTGACATCTCACAAGCTCATGGCCCTCCTTATGTTTGTGAGCTTGTTGGCCAGAGGTTTCATTTTCATGCTTGTAGTATGGTAGGGAATATATTTTGGTCATTATTAAATGCCTACTGTTTGAGGATCTGCCCCATATCTGTCTGACTCTGCATCTTGAATGAGCGAGACAATGTCCATAAAAACAGGTCATCAACTTCACTTCAACATTAAAGCAGAGAGACAAAAAGTCTTCATGGTGACCTTGAAATGAAATTGGCCGGCATGGCACTTACAGAGGGCTTAAGTTGTCACAGATATGTGCAACTTAACCAAAAAAAAGCTCCTATAACCCGATAAAGCCACTCCGGAGACAAATCGACTCCATGGCTTCCTGTACATTATGTACGTATCATTTCAGATTGTTATGGAGAATTCCAGCCTGGTTCTACAGTAAAGAGGAAAATATTGTGGAACATTGCGGCTAATCTAGCATGACAGCTTGTCAGTTTCATGCTCCGAGACAGAACCCAGAAAAGCTGCAAATCATCCCTTGTTTTAACCCCCTCCACCTCCATCTTCCTCTCCTCAGGCCCCTCCCTCCTCCTACTATGTCTTTTTTTAAAATCTCATTTTGTCTTTGTACCAAAAACCTGGTGTTTATTTTGTAGCAAGGTCAATCCTCACAGCCCCCATATCACTCACAAGAGGGAAAATCCTACACCGCAAAACTCCCTTTTGCCCCAGACCTCTCCTATTTACTCCCCATCTTTCGTCTAATCTTTACTCTTTTTTTTGTACAGTAATTCACCTGCTGCTGAGAGAGGGGCTTGAGGAGGTACACGTTTTTTGGATTATTCCTGATGTGCTGTGAGAATACACTAATCTCTATTAGATTTGTCCTGAGAGAGTTCTTGCTCGACTGTGCGGTTTAAAGGCACGAGGTTCATGTTAGGCCTGTAGTATGGATATCTAAGACGGGAAAGTGATCTAAATACTTTACAGACAACTTCTTTTAACAGATTTAACTTATTATCAGGCTTTAAAATATTAACCCTGACTAAAAGAAACCTTGACATTTCTATTCACTGTTTTTTGAGCTGGTAAAAATGCACTGCAGTAACTGTGAATACAGGCAATTTTCTTTTTGATATCCATTCTGGTTTAAAAACAAATAATCTATTGAAATGCTTTGAGCTCTTTATTTAATGTGTAACATTGTGTGACAGATGTGTTATTATAATTGTAGCTGATTCATTTCTTAATAAAAACGTACTCTCTTTCTCTGTACAGGTTACTCATCTTGTTGCTATGGAGACCTAATCAGCTAACCTGAGGTAGGTTGATGAATAATTATTATTACAATGAAGACACACACACACACACACACACACACACACACACACACACACACACACGCGCGCGCGCGCACACACACACGAAAAGACACACTCGTGCACACATCTCACCCACAAAGTTCCCTACATACATGGACTCTGGTTACAGTGTCAGTATCCCAGGGTGCCCCTGATTAGTGCAGCAATGCAACTTCCTGTGTGGCCTGCAGCTCACGGCCAAGGATGAGTTTTTCTAAGCAGCAACCCGAGGGAGGGGTGCAGGGAGGCTAGGGGAGTGGGGGGGTGGGGGGGTCAGGGGAGGAGGCTGATAAAGACATGGTTTGCGTGTGTGTGTGTATGAAAGCAAGCCCCTGAGGCCTGACATGGGTTTGAAAGGCATAGCACGGGCTCTGTCCTGCGCTCCCTATCCTGAAATACACCCCCCCCAAAACACACACACACACACACACACACACACATACACTCACATATATGGAGGGAAACCCTCTCTGATTTCCTGCTATTACGCCCCATTAAAGCAGCTGTCAGTCCAAAGCCAGATGATAGGCTGACACAGATGAGGAAATATCTCCAGAGGTTTGAAACCAGCCCAGAGGATCTGGACTCGCACTGGTGTTTAACTTAGTTTGAATCTGGCCTAAACCCAGATTACAGTTTATATTTACAGAAGTAACCATTGTACAGGCCTCGGCCCTGCAGCAAAGCTTCTCTGTCACTGCAACATTTTTTTTAATCATTTCTCATTTTCCAAAGTGACTTCCAAGGAAGTCTAATCTAAACCTACAAATATTATTATGCAAATGAGGAATTCTGTCTGCAGATTGCAACCATACTGAGTAGGAGATGCAGCACTTCAAATGAAAAAAGTCTAATTATTTGACCTACAGAGTATCCAGACTGTCAAATCAAATGTATTATTACTACGTTTCTCATACCTATCTTTGGAGTCACTTTACACTGCTGATAGTGTATAGTTGTGCGACAGAAAGGTTGGTGAAAGTTTTAACGTATGCAATGTCGACTGTAGCTCATTCAATTAATCAAAAAATCTAAAAAGTATTTAACAAAAAGCAACTAAGTACAAGGCAGCGAGCAGGAACTACACAACCAGGGAAGTTGGGAAAAAAAAGGATTAGAAGTTTGAAGGTGACTTTGTCGAGTTGTGTGAAAGATATAAGTTTCTACTCCCAGTATCTACAAACAAAATGTCTTCAGCGCTTTCTTGTCCATTTGAACAAATAATTACTCTACAGATTTAAATATGTAACTTAAATGGGGCTTAACTACACCAGGACGGGACCCTTTTATCTGGTGTTATTTTTTGTTATCCATTATGATTACATTTAATAACAAACTCAGTTACTGAGTTGTGGAGCATAAAATTTATGCTACAGTTGCAATTACGATTACACTTATAGAAAACAGGTAGAAAAGTGGGGGTAAATTAGCTTTAGCTAAGGCTTGCTATGGCTCACTGGCTGGCTTTAGGTAGCCGGAGTCTCTACGTGTTTTGTAGTCTCTGCAAATTTTACATGCTGTTTTGTTGTTTTTGTTAATTACATTTCTATGTCATAATAATTTTTTATATTATGAAACCTTTGTGTGAGAGAGATTGTAATTTAACTCTGACCATAAATTGCTGTGTGAATTTGTGTAACCTGTAGTGTGTCTTTAATATACAGCAATTGCTTGGAAATTCATGGTGAAACTTCAAATCCTTATACTGATGAGTCAACATAAGAGGGAATACATTTAATACTTCCATATTCAGACATGCTTTTTAATCACAATTACTGTATTTCATATAATTACAGTGCAGACTTCCCTGATGAGAATATAATATGTGACCCACTGACAGCTACATCTTAACCACTCATTACCATTTTTGGAGCCCTAATGCTCTGACATATTTAAAGTCCACTCTGCATGTTTAATAACGGCTCACAGTCCGCAGAGCAGTGGTGAGGGCGGAAGGAACTTTGAAATTGAGACGGGTCAGGTAAAATATTATCATGATCTGGCAGAGCAAAAACAGAAATCTCCATTTTGTATAGAAATGAGCAAAATGATTGGCAGCTGCTGGACAAGCATAAATAAACAGATATCTCGGTGTATGTTTGTGTGTGTGTGGTTGTGTGTGTGCAGTCTTTAAAAGCTGTAAAAGGAGGCAATGTGTACAGTATATTCTTGCTAATACGTGTATGTGAATGTTCCATATTCATGTTTTCATATTTAGATGTGTGTAACCATGTTTAAGTGTGCACATATCTCTCTTAGTGGGTGTGTGTGTGTGTGTACTTTTTTTTTTTTACTTCGGATAGGAGTCACATTCAGATCAGAAACACGCTGACCAGGCACTCGGGGCGATCTAATTGCTGGTCCGGAGGCCTGAGGGTCTGGGGTGGAGGACAACTAATTGCTGGTGATTATAAACCTCAGAGCAGCGGCTTGGTGTCAGGTTTCCATCAGAGAAACACCAAAGATCACTCACAGTTAGAAGCACATACACGTGCACACACACACACACACACACACACACACACACACACACACACACACACACACACACAGTGATAAGCACAAATGGGCATGTGTGTCCATACAATATACACACACCAGCTCCAGGCTACTGAACAAATTTTTTAAATGCTGTTGCTGGTGTGTGAACCCCATTTAACCTCAGATACCACACACACACACACACACACACACATATATACTTTCATATCTTCAGTGCACACAAAACTGAATCCGCACACAAGGTCAAAAAAGTGAAAAATACAAAATCTATGAGTAAAGCCTCATTCCTCCTCTGCTGCACACAAAAACAAGTACATAATATATCTTATATAAGTGATGGTAAATTCATCCTTAAAATAGAATAGCTCAACATAGTCTCTCTCTCCCTCTCTCAGCAGCCACAACTGTAACACACACACCAGAGTATTTCTTAGGATGAAAAACTAACAACACACTGCATTCTTCCCTAAGTGTGTGTGTGTGTGTTTGTGTGTGTCTGCTTGCTGATCTTTGTCGACCTTTACATCTCTAGTTTGCATGAAAAAAAAGTATGTTGAGCAAAGTGCATATAATAGCATATACATTTATACAAATCTGAGTTTTTTTCCCAGCAGCCATCACCTATGTTAGTGTAAATGTATTGCAAATAATAGAAATAGATAGATTGCGCTAGAGCATGAAGATAAAATCAATGTTATTATTATTGCTTTGTTTGATTCTCTGAAAATAAACAACACGGATGTGACATGCAGCTCTATAGAGATGAAATAGAACAGAATAGAAATATATTTCTAAATATATTTCTTTTGTATATTTTTCGTTGCAGTTAACGCTCTGTTTGAGTAAATGAACCGACACTAAATTGGACAGCCACACACTGAAACTGGCATTTCCGGTGATTTCCGTTTGTTTCACGTGCCCCTCTGGAGGTGATCAGACAGCTACTGCACGCTTCGTGGCACGTGTGTGTGTGTGATGAGAGTATGAGTGCACTACCGTTTCTTTAGCGCACAAGAACACTGGGAAAAAGTAGCCTATCGTGAAGTAGAGGCCAAATGAATAAAAGCCCAGATCCAGAGTCTGTCTGATCTGACATGGTCCACGGGAAATTTATCAGTAAAATAATCTGAAGTATTTTAATACGCCGCTTAAAATCTGATGTGATGTGAGCAGCAGAAGTTGGTGAAAACTTAGTCGAAATCATCTTCCTCACAGAACAGGCCATTACCCCACAGAGCCTCCAAAAATCATTATATTATGCTTCATTTTACGCTTTTTAAGGCCATTTTCCTTAATTAGACGTGGGCCAAACATTTCTTAGCCTAGTGTGTGTGTGTGTGTGTGTGTGTGTGTGTGTGTGTGTGTGTGTGTGTGTGTTTTGGCTATAGCCATAATAAAACTTTGGATCTTTCAGCTATTCGCTGTAGGTAGAGGCTTTTATTTTGTTACAGACTTTCAGTTTTTGAAAAGGTCTTTCAAGAACACGTGAGGCAACCCGCATCCATCTCAAAGGATAAGACTGTGTGTGTGTGTGTGTGTGTGTGTGTGTGAGAGAGAGAGAGAGAGAGAGAGAGAGAGAGAGAGAGATGCAGAGGGCAGAGAGTCCTGTGTTGGCAGAGTGGCGGACGTGGTATTTTGAAAACACGGTCATAAACTTACCCTACCTGAAATAATCCATTTTACAGAAGATCTCTTTGTTTTTGATATAGCAGCTGCTGTGCTGACGTAGTGACGTCCTGCAGACCGAGCACTCCAGACAGCGCACGTGCCAGATCAGGTTGTTCACCTGCAAAGAGATACCGAGCGTGTCAGACACACACTGATGAGGACTCACGATGTTGCTGAGTAATGACTTCGTCACACTGTGAAGTTTTTGGATATATACGTTATTCCAATAGAAAAAGCACAAGCGCATCTGCCGCTCAGTTATGATCTCATCTTCGATTTCCCAGTGAGGTTAATAAAAAATAATCCTCTTTATATTGACGTAATAATACTTGTTACAGGTAAGTTTATTACCTGGAAAATACAACCAAAATATTTTTTTAAAGTGTTGTTCAATAATGGGTTTACAGTCATTATATGGATCCTCCAATTTATCTACGATGTATCATTATCAGGGACTTTTAATCAGCCTGTTTTGTCTGATTCACACTAACAATATTTCCGTTCTACTGTAGTTCATTTTCCGTAAGTAATGACTAACATTGCTGTTGAAACACATGTAGGCTATTGCTTATATACCAACCTATATTATCTTATTGTTATATTGAGAAATATAGATCCCTAACAAAAGCAATTTACTTAGGCCTTACCAACGCTTTCTGGCACTGAGTGAAATATTTTGATTTAACAGCAATTATTTCAACAAAATGAAGAGAAAAAAAAATACAGTAGTAAATAATAATGGTCAGGTGTGGTGGAAAACAAGAGACCAATCTGTAAAAATGACTGAGGAAATTACTGAAATCATTTTGAAGTTTTACAGATAGCAAAGCCAGCTTAATGTCCATTTTCAAAAGATTTTACAAGAAAATTAAAATTAGTCTAATAATTTAAGGCGAAAAGTAGAAGGGCTTTCCTGTAAAATGAACAGTTAGAAAAGGTCCAGACTGCGTAAACAAAGTCACGGCACATGTGTGTGCTCTGTTCATTTTAGAATATGATTTTGTTAAAAACGCAGCTTTTGACCATTATGCTGCTCAGTGAACTGCTTATGAATGCATGCAAATGCTTCTAATAATTATGGCAGTCTCTTCTACCAAAATTTAGAATTTATGATAATGATGATTTTTTCTAGATTTGTATGAATTTACTTACATAGAGTACATTTACATTTAAGACAAAAAAATGAATAAATAGGCCTAAGTGTTAGCATATACAAGAGATTTGATAACGTAGGCTATTATGTAAGATTAAATATTGACAATTTTATCAGTTTTTTTTATTTATTTAGATTTTGTAAATTACTTACCAAAATATTTTCAGTTTTTTAGCTGTATTAAAAAAACACATTGTAACAGAGAATATAGTTACAGATATTATATTAATAGGCCTAGCCTTTGATACAACAAAAATCAATTATTTTCAGTGTTATTTATTTAATCTTGAAAATTATTTTTTATGTAGCCTAAATATCTATTTTGCCTGCACTTAAATATTTGAATAAAATTTCTGGTCTTAACAATATTACCCCTGTATTATCTGTGTTGCAAGCTGAGAGTCAGATAATGGACTAATGATCCTCACACTTCCTGACAAACACACCTATCCGCGCGCGAGTAAAGACTGATAAGCACGTGAGCGCACGCGACAAGACGGGACATATTGAGACTGAGGCAGAAACAGTAAAAACCAAAACATCCCTGTTGTGTCTGCGGTCTCCCAACCCCGTCTGTCGCTTTAACTTTGTTTCCGAAAATGTTTACAGCGGCGATTACATCAGTTAAATTTAGACACAGCTTCTCTGAGGGTTTCAGTATTTTGTTTTTGTTCTTCTCACAACTATAAAATAATTATAACATTAGATAAAACTGAATTATAATACAGCCTATATCAGTTCCTTTTACATAGGCTGCGATTTGTTCATATTAAAGCTACAGTCATGATTGGAGAATTTCTTTCCTCTTCAGTTTTGTAGTTTTATTTTTTCTTTGTTCTCATGGTCCAACAGTGAGAAAGCTTTAAGTTGTCCAGGCTTTCTGTGCATTCCTGAACATCAGCGTAAAAACACAGCAGGCCTGTCCAAACCAAAATAGGACCAGGGTCAACACGGCGCCCTCCTTCGCTCGCTCCTGAGCGTGTTGTGTAGTTATTAGCTGTCTGTTTATGTTAATACCACCGTAAAAAAAAAAGAGAAAACAAATAAACAACACGCCCCCAGAAGAATATAATGTTTAGCCTGTTTAGATGGGTAGTTTCAGGCTGTTACGGTCGGCCTCTCACCTTCAGCAAGTATCTGTCGAGAATCTCCAGACCGCAGCTGGCGCACATGTTCTTCCCGGTGGAAGGCACCGAGCTGGTGGTGGAGGTCGGCGAGCACACGGAGGGGGTGGACGGAGTGCTCGGGGACGAGCGAGTGTCCTCCCGCTCCATGTTGGACCGCTGGGATTCTCCGTCCGATTGAGACTGCAAGAGGGCATCGGCACAGCTCAGTAACACACAGACCCGATCCTCATCCCCACAGTGCCAGCGTGCACATGTCGCCATTTTCATCACAGCAGTGCGTGCATTAATTCACACATTCAAAATGATCATTTACACTAATCCTAACTAAATGTCCACATTTCATGGATGCGCACGGGGCCATGCTGGTTTCTACTGCGCGCACTGAATGAGCCATAAAATGTCAAAGCATAAATAGGCAATAAAAGCTCTCACCATTGGCGCGTGTTTCGAGTCCACACTGCAGCGCGAGGCTCCCTGTGTACTCTGATGCTCCGTAGAGATCACCTACAAGACAACGGTCAGTAAACGGCAAGTCTTCATCACTTCTCCCGTATCATCTTCAACTGAGAAATCCTCGGGAGACATTTGCAGCTCTTCAAGGCTACTCCTATATAAAGTAGTTCTGACAATAAACCCCGGTTAAAACTGTTAAAAGGGGCCCCCGCAACAAAAGGCACATTTTAATGAAGCTATTTCAATTTGGATTGATTTTTCCCTGCCCTTAACCCATGCCTCTCAGAATAATAGTATTTTCCTCGCAATCCAGGACACGAGAGTGGAGGGGGGAGAAAAAAACTACCTGTAATTACAAATAGCTTGAAACGCTGTGGATAAGAGGGACTCAGAGTGTCAATTTCAACTGTCAATCAGAAAAAGGCAACGGGTCACCCAAAGAATTGCAAATTTGATTTTTAATGGCTGTAATTAAAATCTAATTCTTCTCAGGCGAATTGGCAGCGCTCGAGAGGCTCGCGGACCGCAAATCACGCTATTCATAACAGAGAGGCGCGCGTGCCTCTTCACAGCGGCTGGCGCGTGCAGCTGATCCCAGTGCACAAGCAGTGATTCTTGTGACATCACAGGGAGACAAAAACAAAAACTCACACACGATGCTGCGGGCTGCGGATAAACTGCAACAGCAGATCGCGTTCAAAAGACAGAGGACAAACAATTTTTGGCGAATCAAAATGATTTCACATCGAGGTCACTTATTGCATCGTTATACCGCAAATCACTAAAACACACCACACACAAAAAATGCCAATTCAGTCCTAACTAAACAGCAAAGGCCCAGGCAGCGTCTCCAATTGGAAGCATTTACGCACAAAGTTGCAGCTTAAGACGAATGTTTTCCAAAGTGTTACTACCTGCTTCGTGGGAATTCCGTCGGACAGAATCTTATTTCCCTCTGAGAGAGGGGACAAAACTTCATTTTTCCAGTACATGAACCCCTGCGGTCTCACAGCGTACAGTAGTGTCTCCAAACTCGGTGCGTGGTATCAGGGAAAGAGTCGGCGATGGGCGTCAAAACTTGTACCATCCGTACAATACATGGATTCTGGTGCAGCCTTTAACTGACGCACGGGTTTGCTTTTTCTTTAGCGCAAAACTGTTTTCTCTGTTTGAAACACACTGCTGTGCGCGATGCGTCTCACTGCCACTCATACACAACACTACAAAAGTTTTGAAGCTGTGCAGAGCCGAGGAGTCGCTTGCTGCTCCTCAGAGAGCCTTATTTAGAACAGAAAGATTTCTTCCTTTCCCCGTTTCCCCCCCCCCACCCCACCCCACCCCTCTCTCTCTCCACTTTTGGGAAGGAGTCTGACTACAGGAAGTGAATCAAATTGAGGGGCTGGCAGCTTTTACTCCGAGGCTTCATAGGTGCAGGGGGGAGACTGCAGGGCTGCAAAGACGACGAGAGCGCAACAGAAAGAGAAGCAGGGTGTCTGTGCAGAGCTGCAGTGAAAGTTTGCGCGGCTCTCTGGCCTGCCTTCTGGTTAAAGAAGGGGGAGGGCGAGGAAAGAGTTTCATATGCGTGAGAAGGGTGGACACAGTTTGGACAGAAACTTACTCAAACTCTGCTGGTGTGTGTTTGATATCTCAGGCATGTATAGCGGCTGCCAGAGGAAAAAGAAAAACCCAATTGCCGTTTATTTGCTACTAGAAATATACAACTGGTGCTGAGTGGAGGCAATAATGAACGTAGATACTCACGCACAAATAGACCGTTTTATAAACAGTCTCATTACGAAGAGTTAGATTTACCTTATATTCAAGTTCAGCAGTGTCTACACTGGAAGAAAAAAATAAAGATTGAAAAGAGAAAAAAGAAAATGATCATCATGGATTTATTCAAATTTCACGGTGTAAAATAGTATTTAATTCATTAATTTTTGTGGTGTAATCATTTGCTCTCCTGTTTAAATTCTCATTAACCTAATGATTTTACTGCTAGTTTTTATAAACAACTAAAAAGAAGTTGTTTTTCTTTCGTTCTTGCACCTTTTCTAATATATTCAAATTCTGCAAACACATTATGAATTCGCAGCAAAATATTTAGGCCATGCAGGACAGAAAAAAAATAAAAAATAACCACGCATATATGATGCGATTTACTAATTTAAAAATCCATATGGGTCTTTTATTTTGACACAATTGTCAAAAGAATTACGAAAAAGGATCTTTTTTTGAAATGTATGCAAACAGTAGGCCTGGAGGAGCTGATGCAGATGAAACAGAAAGTCTCGGGGTCATTTCACCAAAGGGAAGCTGGGTAATTACAGGATGTGTATGAGCCCACACACCGGTTTGGATCGATGTGTCAATCATTAGGATTTTTTTTTCCTCAAGGATTCCACAATTACCTGTAAATCTAGAGTTCAGAAACTATCCTATCAAAATAAACCAGACCTTAAAAAATAATAAACGTCTTCATCATTCTGGAGGAGAAATAATTGTAAAAATATTTTAACGAATAGGGCTTTTTTATTAAAAAACAGATAAATACACACATGGAGGAGAGATCGTTCAGCTGATCTAATGGACATCAGAAATATTCCGGTGAGGGATTTTACAACAACAAAGAAATAATAATTTAAAAAAACCGACTGGGTAATGTCGAGAGGTAGAATTTGATTTCTTCAGTGCGAACGAAATTCTGTTGTTTAATCTAATCCAGCGACTCTACGGATCTCTGTCCCTGCTGCAATGTTGTCTAGACTAATATACGAGTTAAATACTCTTGGTAAACAGTGGCTCTGCAGAGCTTTGGTTCTTCACGCCAACAAATTCAGTCTATAACTTCGCCAACATTCTCTGTCTCTTAAATGCCTTGAAAAGGGTTTTTATAGCTTCACACCAGCAGGGAAACACAACTCGGGTCACACCAAAAGCACTGACAACACACAGAAATCAAAAACAAGTTTTACATTTAAAAAATGGAGTTTCCACATCAACTCCATATACAAAAGGCCGACCACATATTCAAATTAATTACAAGTTTTTTGGGAGCTGCACAAAAATTAATAAAAATATGTAGTATTCAGTGTGCCTGTGGGGAAAAGGTAAACTGCACCTGAAAACATAATGGATGGTATAATAACCAGGATTATCAATTATTACAGAAAAATGTTGTGACATTGTGGTGATTCTGATTCTGGTTCCAAACGTTTTTTAACCCTGCTTTCATTAGTATCCTAATGAATCATCTGCCATCAATGAAATGCAGCTTTTTAAATTTCTTAAGAACCACTACCATAATATTAGCAACAACTCATATGATTGAATCTTGTACTTTGAGAGCAATCTATAAAATGTCATAAAGCAACACACTGCAGATGAGATATTTAATTACTTTTAATTGAAAAATGAAAATAAAGAGAGTGTGGCAAGAGAAATCCCACACTCCATACACCACACAAAAGTTAGTAAAAAGAATTTAACCGCAGTTGTATAAAAATTGGATCCAAGAAAAAAAAAAAGCAAACGTCTAGGAAAATAACAGGGAACTTCAAACAAAACCTTAAAACGTATACTAAGTGTTGCTGAGTGGCTTGTGACTTATCATTTCAACTCCATTAATACAAACCTGTTATAAATCTTTTTATTTCTTCCTTTTCATTGGCGTCTTGAATAAAGACAAACACTGAAAAGTACGCCCCACAAAATGTTTTTTTCTCATTTAAATAATATGATCTGAAAGTAAAAACACATGTCAAAAACAGTAAAAGAACCAGCATTTAGACTCTTTAAAACATTTCTTTGTCCGATGGCGACTGCGCATAACATGACTCACCGCTGTTTGATTCACCTGCGTTAAATCTCTGTAGAAGTGAGGGGGCAGACTGATGAGGGATCCAACCTGCACGGGAGTCAGGTATGGGCCATATTTAAGACTAAACAATAATGAATGATACTGTACCCCAAAATAACTAAAACACTTTCGGTACTTGTCCATGATTGCTGTAATTAATCCCAAAAGAGTCTTGAAAGTATTTTGAACAACTTCAAAAATCTTTTATTCCCAGATAGGTTGTGTAAAGTCTGTATAGTATCTAGTGTAGAGTCTGTTTGTGTGTAAGGGGGGGGGCAGAGGTGTGGTAAATGGTAAGGGGGGTTGCGGGGGATCTCCAGATTGAGCAGGAGGATGGGGTCATCTCCTAAACTTGCGGAAGGGCCTGCTCTGGTTATTGTGGTGTGATTTAGAGTAGGGCTCCCAGCGTTTCCTCTCTGGCGGTTTGTTGTAAACGTAGGCCGACGGGCCCGAGTAGTCATCATCTGGATTCTCCTCCATCATCTGGAGCTTGGCCTCGATGGCGCGGATTTTAGCACTCGTACTAGAGGGGAGAAATAAGGAGAGAGAGAGGAGATGTAAGGGGGAAAATACCAGTGTTGGTACTGACGGTGAGAGACGAACTGCGTAATGGACAGATCTCGGCTCGGGCTGAAGGGGAAAAGAAGAGGAGTCCATAGAGCTCTTAGTATTAAGAGAGATAAATGAAGAAATAAAAAAATAAAAAAAAGAGTACAAGCAAGAGATTACCCGGTGTGCTTCAGGAAAATGGAGGAAAATCTGTATTTAAATAGCGGAACAGAAGTTGAAGGAGCAAGTGAGAGGATATTGTGAGAAAAATTACGGTGCAGCTGAGAGGAAGAGTGAATGAGGGAACAAGTGAGTGTGTGAGAGCGAGGGAAAGGGAACATCTAGAGGGGGCATCAGGGAAAAAAGCCGGAAAAGAGTGTTTATATTTCCTCTCTTGTGCTGTGCGGAACGAGTGATTTTGAAGTTTACACTAGAATCGAAGTGTGCAGCCTTTCCTGAGAAGAAGCCCGTTAGCCCATAGTTTGCTCCACACGCTGGCTTGTTTCGGCAAGAGTTGACACTGTGAGCACAAGAGGCCTTGTAAAGACTGAACAGTGCTCCATTTGACTGGCGTACTTTCAGTGTGTGTGCACATCTGAATGTTAGGTTGCAAGTGTAGCCACAATAATGGAACATGTTATAATTTGCTATGACAGAACTTCAACACTTCCACCCAGACGTTTCTGGAACCAAAGTGTTAGTCCAAGATGAACTCAGCTTGAACTGAGGTTTGTGGTGAAAGCAACCAACCCACAAACTCTCCTGTAATAATTTCAGGACCAAGCCTGAGTAGAAATGGAGAATGTGTGAAAGGTTAATTAAAGTGTCAAGATGCTCAAAGAGAACTCGTTTGTACAGCGTACCATCCGACCACATCTGCGGGGACAATTATTCGTAGCTGGTCAGAGGATACGATAATTATTCTCATGGGGATAACGGTACACACTTTTGGACATTTCCATGACAGCATTTATGGCTTGTGAAAAATACAAACTTGAGAAAGAAGTTCAAAACCCCGCAAACTTTCTCACCTCTGTACACCTGGCTAATTGCTGCATCCATCCACACATACTAAATGCTATACTGACATTTAAGAAAAATTAAAGGCAAAAAGTTTTTTTTCCTGAACTTTACTGCAACACAGCGTCTGACCATGTCATATTTAGCCATCTTAGTGTGGACATACTCTGAGAGGAGTGAAAATATTGTAGATGCAGCAATAAGTATGGCGTCATGTGTGTTCTGTACCAACCTGAGGTGATTGGCTGTTACGGGTCCTTCCTCTGCTGCACCACTGCACGACGGTTCCAGGCTCGGGGGCATCGTCTTATCGTTACGGAAACCTTCAAACCTCTACAGATGATACACGTGGCCAAAAAAGAAAAAAAAAACAATGACCCACACAAAGAGTGATGGACAGACAGATGGAGGGAGACAAACAAAGGGGTAAAATACCAGATAAGACAGAGACAACTGGAAAGCCACAGAATACACAAGGTAAACAGAAGCAGATAGCTAGTGGGATAGACTAAAGATCAACCTCTGTCCTATTCAGACCTAGTACCTTGCATCCAGATATTATAGTATTTGTGTTCCTGCTAATTGCACAAAAACATGAGCACCACTTGTTTCTCTGTGCCACGGCTTGTGTCAGTCATAAATACACTGTCAAGAGGATTTTGAGCGCAATGACAGCTATATTTATTTGCACCTGAGATACATTTTAGTGCCAAGTTTGAACAGGACCAATAGCAGTAGAGAAAGAGAAGCAAGCAGGCAAAGAATAAGCAAGAGTCATGTCAGCCAGACATGTAGAGAGCATCAGACCTCCTAATAAATACTGACAGCAGTTCTCTGGAGAGCCAGCTCCAGCTTCTTCCCACAAAGATGAACGTTATTAAACCGTAGCATTGATTTTGTTTGTGTCTGGTCAAACAGACAGAAACCAAACAGGATCGTGCGTCCAGCTCACGTTCACACCCTAAGGCATGAGGGAGGATAAAAGTGGGAGCAGCTGAAGAGCAACAACCAGCGTCTGCACTCATTCCTTTCAAAACCACCTTCCAAACATCTCCACCAGCCAACACAGAATTCTTGAAACCTGTGGAGAAAGAAAAAAAAAAAAGACAAAAACAAAACAACCGTCACATAATGGGTATGGGTATGAGAAAGAGAGACCTCAGCGTTTGGTGCAGCAGCAGCCATTGGCAGGTGTATGATGCTTAGAAATCATCTGACAATGTTGCAGCTGGTGGACGTGACACTGAAGCAAGTTAAGTTGCATTGAGTTACATACATGTACAATAGCACACGCACCATATTGCATTGTGTCCCAAGAAATAAATAACATGTATAGCCAAGAATAGGTCTAAAACAATGACCATTCCACCAGCCAGGACCCTTCCCTTCCACGTATTTCTACAGGCATGTAGCTGGAATGCATAAAAAATGTCCCAACAGTTGCACGTTAGATTTTAAATAGCCTACACTATAAAACTTTAGGTGTTTAACATGTTATAGTTCAGCGGACTTCAGGCTAGATCATGAATACAGTCACAAGAATGTTTAGCAAGATGGTTAGTGATGATGAGATTCTAAGTTATAGTCAGATTATAGTCAGTTTCACATACTAATGTAACTAGGGCTGCAAATAATTATTTTTAGTCTAGATTATTCTGCAGATTATTTGCTCCATGAATCAATTAATCATTTGCTCTTTGAAGGATCAGAAAATAGTGAAAAATGCCCCAAGCTATTTCCCAAAGCCCATTTTGATGTGTTCAGTTTGCTTGTTTTAGTGGATCAAAAATCTTCACTTTATTTTTATAGTTTAAAAAAAAAGTCAAACAGCCAAACTTTTATATTCAAAGTTTTTGTCATTTTATCTTAAAAAAAGGCTTGAACTATTAATCAATTATCAGAATAATTAATGTTCTGTGGATTGACTAATCAATTTATCAGCTAATCATTTAATCTCTAAATATGACACGCATAACACACAAACTGGTTTAACTGTATAATGATAAATATAAAACAATACTGTAATGAGTTAAGACACAATTGTTAAAGTGTTGAAATAGTAGATTTGGAAACCTATGGATGTTTGTAAAGAGTTGGACCAAACACTTCAATATTTAAACGTTCATCAACGTGATTTCCTCCCTTTCAATAAAGTTGTAATAAAGTCAAGATGTAAGCCTGGAAATCTGACAAGGACTTCAGCGCCAAATGCCTCTGACTCACTTATCCCAACATGTCACTTCTCGGGTTAGAGTCAGTGAAGACAGGCTCGCTAAAAATTAAAATATCACATTCAGCTGAACATGAGCTGGCCCCATTGGTGGAAAATTGCTCAAATATTACTGGTGTAATAAATATTACACTGTAAAAGCTGGTGACAGTGGCAGTTTCACAGGCCGATGTGCTCACATCGTCTCCGGCATCAGGAGTATCAGGACAGCAGCACTTCAACATAAGTGACAAATCTTGATTATCGGCCTTGGTGAAGTAGAACCATCTTCTACAGGAGGGGCTGTGGAATATACGACTGCCTGACAGACAAGTTTGGTGACTATCATTCATAAACCTCTAACCTAAGCTTTTCTTCCCTTGGTGACCGAGTGACCGCAAAACACACTGGAGTTCGCAATCATAGTAACGGACAATGTGAGGACATTTCTGATTGAAATGTTCATCTCTTGCTTGTTAAAGCATACCGATGAAATGGGATGAAATTATGCATCTCGCAATTCATCTTTGCCATCTGGGCCAGAAAGGGCGCTCCACAGCTGGAGCAGCTTTGCTCATACCTGGCTGTTGTGGTTCCATCATCATATTAACAATGCCCTCTATCCGTCAAGGATATGTCTGGTATGTAACTCTTTCAGGACAACTGAATATATAGAGTTTAATTTAACAAAAAGGACAAAAGATGAGAGAGTACTGAATCCAGTGTCTTTGTGCAATGCAAAACTGGAAACAGACAGATGCCCGTCATGCTATTCACTTGCTTCCTCACTCAGCAGCTCAGCAAACACATAAGAGCATGCAGTGATTCACTTTCTCCACGACAGAGATGTTGATAGGCTGCTACATGCTTAAAATTTTCATGGGGCCCTGATGCTACTTCCAGTATGTCACGTACTTGCAGAGACAGAAAGACACAGACAGACACCAGTTTCTTCCAATAAAAATACATTTTAAATAAAATATGCAAGACACATCAAAGAAGCTGTCGCTCAGTGATGCAGCAACAGTTGTTTTTCCTGGGAAAAGAAATTCTGACTGATGATCCAAATCCAGACCCAGTTTGTTAGTACTGAATCTGCGCAAACTCAATTCATACAAGAAATGAAATGAGGCCATTGGCAAGCATGAGGGAACAGAATGAAGAAGGTGCTGACACTGACTTAAGGAGTGAGAACTCATTTTTTTTGCACTTGAGCCACCGAGTGACGCAGACAGATTGTTATTAAGGGAACATTTGGGATATAAACAGCTAAAATTTATTTGAGATTTATAACAGCATCAGTAACCAGAGCTACTATTTTTGGTGGGAGTGGTGGTCTGAGCCCAACCACAATGAATCTATGAGCAGATTTATCCTACAACGTGTTGTCTCAGAGGCGGCAGCGTTGACCTTGACCTCACTCTACTATGTGTTTGTGTGTATGTGTGTGTGTAGGGCGTGATTCGTCTCTATACAGGATATCCCTTCACCCATTGCCAGTAGGCTGTCTATTGTTAAGAGACAGGCATAAGCTGTGCTGGGATCCCACTGCTCTCCATGCACTGACTACTGCAGTAGTAATGTGAAAATCCAAACCAACAGATGCTTTTAATAGTTTACCAGTGGTACAAGTGCTGGCACAGTCACAAATGTCCTTCATCATAAGAATATTGGTTAATTCTCCAAAATTTTCAGCCTTGTTTCTAAGGATGGGCTTTAGAAGATGTTACCTTGACTTTTTTTTTTTATCTCTGAAAATCATTTTTCTAATGCACAGATATACATTCTGTCTGTCACCCTATAGAGGAGACCACACTCTGCTGCCACAATCACAGCGTCATAAATACATTTTTATTTGCTTTAATCCACTGAGTCAGAAGGATGTATAAGATTTTTAGTTTTATAGAATGGAACAGGAGTTTGACACTCACCCTCACCTGTGCGTGCGCCCAGCGCACGACCAGCTTCTTGGACAAAGCTAGCTTCCCATTTAAACACTGGATCGCCCTTTCTGCCTCCTGCAGACATTCACAGAGAGAAAAAGACAAACAGATTTTTTTGAAGTTATGATTGAAAATCAGCCTTGATGATTGCACTCCAGTCATTAAATCATTAGTCTTCACAACAGAGAGATAGCAGAAACAATAATACATGATGATGTGCCCCACTCTGCCTGCAGATAGACCACAACGGACGTGTGTGCATGTGTGTAGTTTTGTCTAATCAAATGAGTTGAGTGGCTTTGATGCTAAATTGCATTAATGAAGTACTTCTATCTGTGTGTGTGAGTGTCTAAGTGTGGGCAAGTGTGTAAGATAAACACACACTTCCTCTGTATAATCCTTTTGGGAGGGCTTTATATCCCACTGATAGACACTAGCTGTGAAACTAGATGTTTATCATGATCCCCAGGCTCACTCCAAAACAAATACTGCCTGCTGAACCTGTGAAGCTAAGCGGACTCCTTTTAAGTCCTTTTTTTAGAAATCTGGTCCACTTCAGCAAGACAAACAATCCGGTCGTGACTGCTTGAAGACGTCTCATTAAGTTTATGGGCAGTACATTACTACTCTTAATATAAGGACTTGATTTGATAAAATCAACCTTGTCATAGGAGTTTGTATAACAGACATCAATGCAGACTCAGCAGTATATCAGCACACTATTGTCATGGTATTTAAAATGCAATATCTGTGGTCTAACATTGGTCTAATATTAATATTACTGCCTTTGTTTACAAGAGTTTCACACACACAAAAAAAAACAAAGTTGGTGACACACATACCATGTTTTTATAAAAGAGTTTAGCATTTTGTACATCGAAGATCACTTTACAAAAATACATACTATGGCAAAATAATAGAATTTGAATTTAAAATATGTATAAATATAAACTTCATCTTGCATGTACCTCTCTGGTGCTGAAGTTGACAAAGCAGTAGCCCCGTGGCTGTCCCTCTAAAGGCCCAGACTTATGGAACAGGAAATCAAACTGTTTTACTTTGCCAAACTTCTCCAACAACTTCACCAGGTGATACCTGCCGAGAGAGAAACAGACAGAGGACAGAGGAAAAAATGTAGGTCAAAAATGTAGGCTATATCAGGTTAATGTAGGAGATTATATGTATTTATTATAAATGTTAATTAAATAAAAACAGAAAATACAAAAATCAGTATTTTGAAAGATGTGCCATATCAGACCAAATTTAATCTACATCTCTATTATGATCAACAACATGCACTGTGTACAGTAGGCCTACCATATGAAAACAGCCACATAGATCTGTTCCACACTGTATTTGCCACCCTACATTCTCTGAATGTGTCAAGTGGGGCTAATGAGAATGACAGCTTTCTCTCCCTGACACCTTTTTAGCAGCAGGCCAGATGGTGAGGCAGGCCAGTGACAGTAAATCTCTTATTGAGACAATGCTGAGGATACAGTAGCAGGACAATGAGGGAATAAAACAGAGGAAGCCTCAAATCCCCCCTGAGCGCCGAGCTCTGCACAAACAACCTCCACTGGCTGTGTGGACCTGCCTGGGACTGTTGGGCTGCAAATGAACATAGATATGTGGTCATCGAAGAGATATGCAGTGTGTGCGAGTCTGTAGGTGTGTGTGTAACTGTCCACTGGCTGGCATGGGAAAGAACAATTTTTGTGATGGTGTGAATAGAGCAATGAGTTCAGGGTCACATGAAGACTATATTTGCTATATTATTATATTGCTACTGTATATGACTGTAAATAACCAGATGCTGATGGCATGTTTCCAACACATGTGGAGCAGCAGGTGCCTTACTGTCAAAGGAGTACTTTGAAATTATAACAATCTGCAATATTCTTATATTTGTGTGTGATATATGGGATTGTCTAATTTTCTCATGTATCACAATATGGATGGTCCCAAATTGTTCGATTTAAGTGTCCCAGTAAACAATAACATTGTTACCGGGGCACTGAAACTGAAGCAGCTAAATGGAATTCAACCATCATTCATTCTATTATTTACACCTGTGCCTTTTCTGCTGTGACATATAAAATGTCTTCTGTGAAAAAGGCCATCGAACCCAAAACAAAACTGAAAAAAAAAAAACAAAAAAAAAACCATCTTCCCGTGTTGTTGTTTCAGTGCTGTTACCTTGTGTAACTGTCCAGGCCCCAGAATGACGCCAGGTGTTTTGTATAGCTGTCCAAGAGGAATTAATGATTCTGCCTTTTATTGTTCAGCTGATTGTTATTTAGAATCCTGAAGTGGTTAGCATGTGTGTCTGTGCGTGTGTGTCTCTCTGTGTGTGTGTGTGTGTGTGTGTGTGTGTGTGTGTGTGTGTGTGTGTGTGTGTGTGTCTCTCACCACAAAGACAAGTGTATGACGTTAATGTGCAAGCGTGCATTTATATGTGTGAATGGGACACTGAGGGTGAAGTGTGGGTTTAGGCTACAGGTTGTACTAATGTCTTCCACCCTTCTACGACTCCCTGGAGGGTTTTAGGCCAAGGAGAATTTCTGCTTTTCCCAGACAACACCCTGTAAGTCCCCTCTGTGAAGGTGGCTCTTCCTGCACTAACCTCATTTAAAACAGGAAAACCTCTACTGAAATACAGTTAACCATATTACTTATAGCTCTTATAGCATATGTGTACTCTTATATTAAAATAATTTGCCTTTGCACTTTTTTCACCCCTGAACCTCTGCAACACTGATCAGGAAATGAGAAAGGCAGTCATTTCAGCCAAATGCAACTATGCTAAAATGCTGTAATGCATTAAGTATTGCCTTTTACTACTGGTATACCTTCAAATAAATACATATATAAATAAATGTGAGAAAGATTCGATGCCAAACACTCTAAGAACATTTTTGGACGCTGGTGGACTGAACCACAATGGGCTGCTCCTCTTGGGGGCTGTAAAAACCACCGGAGGAAGAGGAGGAGAGGGGGGGGCGAGGAAAGGGAGGGAAAGGTTGGGGAGAGGGAGAGTAAAGTTCAGAGAGGGGATGTTGACGGTAAGGTGAAAGGTGGAGGAAGAGGGGGAGAAGTCAAAAGAAGAGAGGAGGTGAGAAGCCAGGTAGGAGAGATACATGAGCTAGGAAGCACAGAAGAGGAAGGAAGGAAAAGGGAGAAGGGCCAAAAGATTTGGTCCAGAAAAGTGCAGGTCAGAGGGGAAAAATTAGGGGGGGGGGGGCTCTCTGACAAGGCAAATAACTGCAACTTCTACATATTTTATAAACATCTCAGCCTGCAGTCTGAGTAAGATGATGGTTGCAAGTGCTTTCATGAAAAAAAAAAAAAATCACGACAACTTCCAGATACAACACAACTTCAAATGTTGCAAGAGGGCCAGAGAGAGAACAAAGAGGAAGGGGGTGATGGATCACCACTAATGATAAATTCCCTCTTTGAGCAGCCAAAAGCACAAAAGCATGAATATGTGGTGAAAACTATGTTTACACCTGCTCTGTTTCTACTCCGTGAGAAGAAGGATGTCTATCTCAGCTATGTGAAGCTCTGAGAAGATCATTTCAATGGTGAAGAGTAAAAAACATGTTACTGATCTCTGGTCCTTTGACGGGTTTACATCAATTGTCTTCACTGAGCAGTTACTGTAAAAGGGCAATAGCAAGATTGCAGATTTCTCATAAGAGAGTTACACAGGGAGAGAATATAAGGAGAGGATGCAACACAAAAATTGAAGAAAAAAGATGTTTTTCACATATTTGGAATAAAAATTTGTCCATGTCTAATCACATCATTGTAAGATATGAGCCCAACAAGAAACTTTAATTCCTCTTCCAGCGAGGAAACTTGAGATCAGCCTTAACACAGGCCAAAATTCCTCTGTCTGACAAGAGGACAGCAAAATGAAAGTGCCTCCTTACCTCATCACATCCTAATCCATCTAATACTTCACCTTGACCAACCAGAGAAGAACTGGATATCCTCGCTTTATATTGAAATTAACCAACTGTTCTTCCAAATAACTGAATATATGGACACAATACCAGAGAAAATAAATAACACAATTAATTATACCTAGGAATCCATCAGTCAAATTCTAATCTAGATTTAATGACTACCAACTTATAGCACAAAATTTTAAGTTTTTAATGAACTAAGAAAAAAATCTTACACATAAACAAAGTTTTATTCACTATTCATTTTATATTATGAAAGCATGTGTGTACTTGTGTGTGTTGTTCAATGTATTTGCCTTGTATTTGACTGAGTTTTGGTTTGGTGTACTGGGACAAACAGAGTAAGTACTGCATATGCTATCCAGGAGCTAATTAATCTTCCCAATCAGCATCAGGGGCCACGGGCATTTCTCTTGTTTTCCCTCCATACTGTGAAGCAGTGGCCTATTTAAGGAGAAGTAGAGCAGAGCAGGGAAAGGGGAAGGAAACGCCTGTCTAGACTCCCACCTTAGCTCAAGCCCATACATTCTCCAGCAGCCCCCACAGGCACACAAACACACCCCTCACCCCGAAAAACTACCTCCTCTACCTCACATTGTACGTAGGGGTGCCACCCATTCTCAGATTTAGAGTTTTGCACACACATCTTCACACACAAATGCAACAACTGGAGGATGTTTGCTTGTATATATGATGTCGTGTAAAGCGAGAAACGCTAATGATCAACACAGACACCTCAGTGTGTTGAAGCCTGCACCTCTACCAGCTGCCACCCAAACATCAACTGTGTACTTAAACATACTTACATACACACACACACACACTCTCTCAGACACACGCACACAATCAGCTCCAGACTGACACAGAGAGAGTAAACAGGGCAGGTGAGTGAGGAATGATGGCTGCTCCTTAGCACAGCAGGTCTCCACGCCTCGCTGCCTCTCTTTCACACACCCAGCCCTGTCTGCTCAGTCTCAGCCTGCAACACACACACACACACTACGCACACAGTTAATCAATCATATGTGCACACACAATGCGTTGCCTCTCTATGAGGCAGAGCCGGACAAGTTAAAAAGCACTGCTTCAGGTTCATGCCATGGACTGCTTAACCACCTCCTCAGATCGAACACTTGTTACTGCTAAAATCAAACAGTGACTTTGTTGTTCATTCAGCCGCCCGATTTACATGTTTGAGTATGAAAATTTGTAGTAAAATATACATTTATGTTGTATTATAATAACTTTTAATGTCTTAAAATGTGACGGCTAGATTATAGGACAGTAATCTTACTGTTGCTCTGGTAGTTTCACATTTGATCTGATCTGAAGCATGTATGTAGATAGGACAAACTGACTGGGATCTCTTTCTTAACTTACAGTCACACACTCACTGCCATGCTGATGTTTGCTAAATAACATTAGATTAACTCACTCTGTGATTTTGGGATCGATGTTGCCTATCCACAAGCGGTTTCCGTCATGCGCCACACTCTCTGAAATAATGGAGGCATTTTCCACCGTCTCTGCTGCAGACGACATGTGTCTTCTGTGGGACACAGAGAAATTACATTTACAAAGAAAAGGCAGAGATAATGTAACATTACTGTATGTGTCAGTGTAGAACCATTAGGATTGTTTAAAGCATAATGGCAGTAACCTTATGAACACTGCAATACTCAAAAGCCACCAAGAAATGGCAGGCGCCAGTGCACAATTCATTTAACTAAACTGTCAATTGGAAGCAAAATATGTCTGGGATTTTTGCACAAAAAGGGAAGTAAAATATTGCATTAGAGAGAAATTAGCACTATGGGTCAAACAGGCAATTTCTAGTCTGATCTTGGTCAACGTAATAAATTTTAATGTCATAATCAGATCACTCCTTTTTTCCCCTTTTTAGGTATTTACAATGAGCGTATTGTGATTGTGATTGTGTATTGATGCAAAATGTTATGTCATATAAATGTCAAACAGTAAATATGTTACATGCAAACATACATACAAATCAGTGATGAGATAATGGTCAAAAACGTTCGCGAAACACATTGTCTGTTTGCAGTTTAGAAGTTAAAGCAGTTTGAACTGAGTCAGGGAATTGTGTAGATTAAGTTATTGTAACTCACAGGGTCATCAAAAGCAGGTTGTTCCTGCAAAACCCTAAAAAAAAAAAAAACAATTCTCAAGTTCTCTCGATGGCTTGCCACCAGCTAACGTTAGCTTAGCTAAGAGCACGCTAATCGACCGATCACTATCCACTCGTTGAAGGCGTTAGCTGGCTAAAATGGATCCGAGTGTGTGCGGTGAGACTATTCCAATCACCCAGGGAGTAATATATTCAGTTACAATTATTTAAATCTATCCACTAAACAGTTAACCATACGTTTTAGGCGAGCAGTTGGTTACTAGCAGTAAGCTAGCTTCGACATTATCAGCTTACCTGCTCGTTCTGTCAAACTTCCTCTTATAGCAACTGACTTCTTCGACTCAATCTGCTACTGATCCCACTTTCGGGATGATTCTGCTACGTCAAAACGTAACACTAATCATTTTAAACATTTTTTCTTTTACGTTTTCCTCCTGTAAAACGGACGAGTTTAGCTAGCTCGAAAATTAACAGTCGCCGTCTGACAACAAAGGCGCGCGGTGATGTCGTAGTTTGTTTAGCTCTATGGAGAGTCGAGTGGAGGCGCTCGATTTAATGTTTGGTACCCCCCGGCCTCATTGAGTCTCTTCGGTCTATGTCGTTTTTCGTTTCACATAGGAACCCCACTCATTCGGTGCAACCCGTGTTCACTTTCAAACACCGACCCGGATGTGGCCAAACACCGGCGCGTAGTGATGACAATAAACATATCAAATGTGGCTTTTCCCTGATGTCTCTCTCTGCAGCTAACAAGCCTCTGTAAAGACTTTAAACCTGAAAGTAAGTAGAGTTTTGGGATTATTTACATTTGAATAACAGAAATCAAAGGAAGTACTATATTTAGCAGTGTTTTATGTCGGTTTTTGCCCATGACGTGCACACCGACATCACAGCACCGACCTTCACATTCCACTTACATAAAGTGTCAGGACCAGCTAGTTTTCTTAACTACGTGTGTATGTTTGTTACTTAATATAGTTTCAGCCTCGACAGCCACCACTACTTTCATAATTTTACTCGAGTATCAATTAAATAATAATGATCTGAATCAGCCTGTTGCCACCTTTGGGACTGAATAACATAGAAAAGATCAATAATGATAACCCAAACACTTTCCCGAGTGGAATCCACATATCTGTTCACTGGAATATCACACGTGAAGTTTCCCGGTGTATGTTCCTCTCAGTGGACTGTGACGATATAAAAGTTCAACTGAAGTGTCATTTTCAGTTGTCAGGGATACCTTTTGGTAAAAATCAGATTCATTATAGATATATTATCAGTCAGTCAAGCCAGTTTCTTGTTACTTAAATAGACCAGTGTGTTTATTTTGTGATCTAGTGCAGAAAGATTAGTCTATGAGCAAAAATGTCATATGCTGGTTCAAGCTTCTAAAATGTAAGGACATTTTTTCTGTTTTATAGCATTGTAATATGAATAATTTGGACTGGTAACTTTACTGAGCACAGTGGCCTAAAAAAAGCAATTTGAAGGCGTCACATTGGGCTCTAGGAAGCATTTTCTGACACTTCATAGATTAAACAATCAATCAATTAAACAAAAAGAGAGACTTAGAGAGATGAATTGATGATTAAAATAATCATAAGTCACTGCCCCAGTGTGAACAGTTTTTTTTTTTGACAAGGCAGAGCATTGTCAGATACACCGCTGCATTATTTTCTGCTCAAGCTGTAAAGTGTACAGAGGAGAAATCATGCGGGCTCACCAGCTGGCTTGCCACTGGAAGAAGCAGAGGTGTGTCTGCAGCTGCTGCTCTGTGTAAAACCTACAGGATATGAGGCTACAGTATCCCACTGAACACCTGTGCTTCACTTTTTCTGCTCGACTTCCCCTCTAAAGAGATCTGTCACTGTCCCACATCTCAGCCTATTTGCTCTGCTGTAGTGCACCGTATCATATCAGCATGACAGGAAACCTGCCAGCCATGGATACCTATTATGGGTTTCTGTTGTAGGTGGTGGTCCGCAGTCTTGCCTAAATATTGCCATTGGGATATGTTTGGGTGTCGGTAAATTATCTTGGACTAACATCAGGGACTAGTGACATGGTTGTAACTTTTGTGAGGACACTGAGACCAGTACTGTTTACAATCCACAGATTACAGATGATGGGTTATTTAAGGCAAATTTTTTGATTCAAAACTTCATTACAGCAAATACATTCAAATTTCACTAAAATAAAGGGATTCAGCATTTCTCCAACATAATTTTTTTGGTGACTAACATTTCTTGGGGTGGGTTTCACTGGGCGTGTTTGGACTCATGACTGGTGATGAGAAGTCTTAACAAGACAAGAAAAAAATAGTCGTATTGCCTCCAATGTACATGAAAACTTGAAATATTACTATATCAAGATTTCTGAAACATCTGAATAACTTTTAATAGCTTGAAATAGCTTGAAATGTGAAGAGAATTAAAATGACCAACTCTACCTTTACTCTTTACATTTCAAAAATATCTCAGATTTGTGAGTCAACAGATATCCAAAAAAAGATGTCAAACCAATGACTTTACTGAACATTTAATTAATGCCTCTTGGATGGGTGGGGAAAATTACTCAGCTTTTTTGTCTCTACTCCATTTTGTTTCAGAAGTTATTGGGGCTTTAAGCTGAAAATTATTCAGTTTCTTCATCATTTCCCAGAAAAAAGTGTCTCAGAAATATGGTGCATTCAGTAAAAGCTCCTCTCATGTGTGTCCAAATAGTTTTTACTGCAGCAGTATGGTTTGTTTCCCCTCACAGCTTTAAGTTTACAGTTACAAATACACACCAGACAATGGAGGATGTCAGTCAGGCTGCAGTACACCGCGAGCTGTTCACAGCCACTGACTGTGAAAGACCGGCTTTAGTGTGTGTTTGTGTCTGTGGGCTTCGATATCTGAGAGTTTGCCTGTGCTTGTGTGTGTCGCTGAGGTTCAGTGACACAGTTCACACTCGAGAGCCAGTTTGCGAGGTGGGAGGCGGTTCATCCATAGAAAAGATGTGGCTGGTCTCATGGTGTTGTGTGTTTTTTTTTTTTTGATTGGGAGGTTCCCCTTCAGGAATGCCCAAACAACTGTGCGTGGGCTGAGTGCAGACTTAGTTTTTATCCCAAAGATTTGTCTGTGTGTAAGAGGAAGAGAAAGAGCATGGTGACTTAAGTGTAACTGCATGTAATGTAGCCTGTGGAGTTGAGTGCAGGAAGTTACAACAGCTTGGATATGTGACTGTATTTATATGTGCATCTTTTCCTAATCTGTGGATTGTATCGTCAAATTCTGCTTAAACATACAGTCCGTGATCCAATTAGTGAAACTTGAAATCTTTCATTGTTTGTTCGTTGTTTCATTTGAACCATTAATTGATTTGTTGAAAAAGTTACAGGCCTTTTTCATGGCTGACATTTTGGACTATCATATCAGTGCATGCACTTCACTGTGCATACTGGTATTGTGATATAACAGTACATTTACTTTGGTAAATTGGATATCTTGCATAAATGGATTTTATCCATATTATCCACTCCTATGGGAACGGTTTCCTAACATGTTTAAGGTTTTTAAACCACAAACAGGCTGATATATTTGATGACGATCAGATGACAAATAGAAGAAATAATGATTTGTAAGTTGATCTCTTGAGCTACTGTATGTATTTGAATATACTTGTAATTTATATGGTCAAAAATCAAACATATGTCCTTTAATGAAAAAAAATCCTACTCCTTATAGACTTCAAAGAGGATGCACAGAAAATATAGGATTTGACGGCTTTGTTTCTACTGTTTCCTTCATCATTTTTGTTGCGCATTATCATCAGATAGTTGTGAAGGGAAAAGCAGACTATGGCACTGTAATGTCAGTACAAGATGTAGGCCTACCTCCTACTGGCTGATATGAGTTATTGCTTCATTTTGATAAATATTACAACTGACTTCAAGTGATCTGTGAATAACCTGTGATTCTATGAAATTTAAAACTAAGTGATGTTACACCAAATTCAGTAGCACTATTTTACCTCTGACAACATTTATACTGTATGTTCTTATTTAGTTATGGCTTTGAATCATCTGAGCCTGCTGCGACCTCTGCTGTGTCAGTCCCTGGTGCGACAGGTCAGGTCTCCCCTCGTCACTTCCAGGGTCAGTGCCCCGCTACTGTGCCCCGGCAACACCTGTTACCCTGCTGCATGCACCAGGCTCTATGCCACCAAGAAGGCAAAAGGTCAGTGCACAGATTACAAACACCGGAGTTCACATTTGTTTTAAATCTGGATGTGGGCTACTTGAGTAGACATAATTTGTCTTAGATATGAGTCTCCATTCCTCAATCCTTCTTTCCCTCTCTTCATCTTCCAAGCTAAGGCAAAAGGCCAGTCGGCTAAGGTGAATATTAATTCAGCTCTGGTGGAAGACGTCATCAGTCTGGATGAAGTGAAGGAGGACATGACAGCCATTCTCAATGCGCTCAAAGATGACTTCACACGCAACCTCGGCTTCCGAACCTCGCCAGGTATTCTGCTTTTCTCTCTTTCTTTCCTGGTCTCTCTCTCACGTTTTGTGTCTCCTGACGTCACTCTCCTTTTGTTTCTCACACTTTTACACTCTCAAATACACAACTGATCAGTTACCAAAGACACAAAACCAGCACAAATACATTGACTCACACGTTCAAAATGTAAGTCACCTTATAGGAGACAAAAATAACACATAAGAGTTTACTTAACTAGCTGTCTGCAACAATAAATAAACAATAGTGATAAATTGCAGAATAATAAAAGCAATGACAGTATACTCACTTAATTTTTTGGCTCAGTTAATCATTTCCTAGTATTGTTAATAGATTGTTAATGAAGAAAAACAAGCAAGAACAATAGAACAAATGCAGTAAATTGAGGCTACGCCCCCCATTAATACATTTTCATTTTAAAACGATCTCTGTCCAGATGACAATTTCGTCTCTGTATCAGAAACGATCTCCCTCCATGCTAACACACCTGAAAACGCATATGACGTGACAGTTCATGTACACTGGGCGTCCCCGTGCCGGTGTAAACAGGAAGCAGGTCGTCTACTAGAAAATACTAAGAATGAGGAACAGGAACAGCAGTTGTAGCATTACAATGTAGTGTCTAACTGCACAACAGCTGCTTACACAGACAACAAGGTCAGCAACGCATCTAATCCGTTACCCATGTAGCATTCAATACTGGTAGTTATGGCTGATTAGACCCAATCAGGACGCGAGGCGGGTGTCCGCTTCATTGTTTCCAAAAGTGTCTGTTTAGTAGTAGTGTGGAGGCCAAATGTAAATGTAGCAAAAGTTTTCAAACTAAGACACGTGTGGATTTAGCCTGAATAGCATATACCACATTCAAGTACATACTGTCTATGTGACAGCTGCAGCCGGTTATGTCTTAGTAATCTTCCTTTTATTTAATTTCATTCTCACTAGTAATCCCCATGTTGATGTCAGCCCTCATAGCTAGCCTCGTGAAAATAAATCGCAACAGTTTTTTTTTTTTTTTTATCTATTGCCCATACACATGTTCTATTTTCAAAGCTATGTGTCTGGTCTCCTGGATGTTTGCTGTCAGAATGATAAAATGTTGAGACCAATGTTTCCACATATTGCATTTCAGTTGCATTTCCACAGACGTGCCTGTTCTTCTCAGACTTCTATTCTTCACTATACAAGATGTTTGTTGCATCCTCTGTTGACAATTTGTCATGTGCATCATGAGACCTTTTAATACCACAGCACATACTTTAGGACATAAGTTGGTGAGTCTTCCTCTTTGCATCTACCTGACAAATCGCCCAAGGGCTGAGAGTGAGGAGAGCCTCGTGTGACCTCACCTTGACCCCAGTTTGACCTCTGTTTCCCGGACTACATCCAGGTCATGACCCTTTGCCTTTGGGTTCTAACAAATGGGAGCCGGGCTCGGGTAGTAAGAGGTGGGGTGTGTAATGGAAGCTCCCACGGGAGGAGGCAGACGCTGGAGTCAGACTTCAAACCTGGAAGTGTCCTGAGTTTCTCCTGCTTTCCCTCCTTCCCCTCTCTCTGATGTTAGATTTGCTCACAGTGCCATTGTTTTCTCTTGCCTAACATGCAGACACACAGAAGCACAAACACAGCCTTGAGTTTTATGGTTAAACCCTCAATGTCTCCACTTGTAATCTTGATCCAACCGTTTCACTGTTATTTATCTGTTCAGTTTTCATCTCTTTCTCAACCTCTTTTTTTTTTCTTCCAACATTCATCATTCAACAGTTTTTTGCTCTGAGTCATTTTCTTCAGCCCCTCCCTTTATCCTTCTCTTACTTACTCTTCTCTTGTTTTTCCAATAATTCCCAGCTTCATATTTTGGCTTCTGCACATGATACTTTCAAACTCTGTCTCATACCTCTTAATTAAAGTTTCTTATTGATCCATACGGAAACTTTTGCCCTGTGAACAAAAGTTCAAGAATTTTAAGAGTTCTGCTTCACTCCCTCCATCTCCTCTGTTCTCCTTCTCTATCTCTCGCCATTGTTGCCTCTGTCCCTCCATCCTGTCATCCACCCTGTCTTCTCCCTCCATCTGCGTATCCCTCACTGCTCTCCTCCACTCCGTCCATCCCCCTCTCTTCTGTCCAGCTGCACAGTAATCCAGGGAGGCAGCAGGACTTAGAGCTGACAGGATGAGATGAGATGGTGGAATGGAATGACGTCAGTTGTCTGAATGTGTGTGTGCGTCTGGTGCGAGTGTGTGTGTTTGTTTCATGAACCTCTCATCTGGCTCTCATTAAGTGTGTGTGTGTGTGTGTGTGTGTGTGTGTGTGTGTGTCTGTATGCACTATTGTGTGTTGCCATGAATGCATACTGTACGAGTGCATGTGTTTGTTTGTGTGGTGTAAAGCAGAAGGTCACATATAAACGCAGAGAGAAGGGATCAATGCTGTGACCGCCATATTGTGGTTAGTCACATATGGGTAATCTGGCCTGAAAACTATCTGTTTCCATGGAAACTTGAAGAGAGAGTGGACTGAGACTTAGAGCAACAACAACAACAGTACAGGAAAAATATTTTTTAAATGCCTCAAAGCACCTTGTCTGTACCTAGAGGTCTTCTCAGTTGAAGAAAAGAGCTATTGGAGCTTAATAATCATAAATGTTATTTATAGCTTTGCTGGAAAACACAAGTAAATCAGTTAAGTGGTCTGAAAATAGAAACAAGGACGCCTCTCTGTGGATAAGACGTCTAACGGTGAGTCTACAGCCGAAATCCTAACCTCAGCATGCCAACATACTTAACATGACACTGTTAACATGCTGATGTGTAGCAGCTAGTTGGCAAAATGTTAGCACGCTAAACCCCTAAACTAAGACATGTTAGTATCATCTCAAAGCACAGCTGTGTCCAAATACAGAGCCGCTGGTACGACTGTCGACCCTCAGTCTTGTTAGTACTGCATCTTGGCTAAAAGTGTCATAAAACCTCATGAGTTCATCACAGCACATTAAGGTTGTGTTCACACTTAATCCGGTTGGCACGGTTTAAACGGTAACGGACATGCTCGCTCATTCATCCAGTTGAGTACGGTGTCATTCGAGCTGTGGTGCAGACCAAACAGCTGCACAGAGACCACCTGATACGGATGGTCCACATTTTACAGCTAACCTTGGCAGGTTTGCATGTGCATTTTTGGGCATTTTGCCTTTATTCCAAGGTGGACAATCAAGAAGTGACAGGAAATGAGGGGAGAGACAGGGGGAGCTGACATGGTCTCTGGGAAGGAATTGAACTGGGGATGTTTGATATCACAGTATGGGATCTGTCCTCACAGCTAGGTCACCTCGACACTCATATGTAGTTTACAAATAATGTGACCTGATTGATGTTTTGTTAGTGACTAAAAGTAAAATATGTGTAGTGTAGTGTACATTTATATCACATGTAATATTTCAATAAAGAATAATTTTGCCAAACTTCTGATATTTGGCAGATGCGCTCTCACCTGTCTCTCAACCCCCTGTACCCCCTCCTCACCCTCCATATTTGTAGCTAAGGAAACAACTGTCTGTCTGTCTGGATGCCCTCCCTAAGTACTAGCAGATGTGTAGGTGCTCATTGTCAAGGCACAGGTAACAAAGATGGACAGCCAGAAGTTCACAGATATGGACATGAACGGGCTGAATATACACAGACACTGCGAGATCAGTAATAATAATCAACAATGGGACAGGCAGGTTTAAACCCGCACACGGACGCGGACAGAATAATTGGCAGATAGATAGTATGTCACCGAGTCAGCTGGGGTGTGGCCTTTCTATAATCTGTATTCATTTCATCACATCATAGCAACCTTTTATTTTTAATATCTTCTTCTGTGTCTAATCTATGATCGGTAGATCTATGTTTTTTGTTTGCCCTTGAAATCATATGATAAATTGATCATACAGAGAAAATTACACCATTGGCTCACCTCCCCTTCAACCCTCCACCCCCCTTCTCCACACACAAGTACACACACCACCACCAGCAGCACAACCCCCACTGGGTAAGCAGGGAGCGAGTGATGTAAGGCAGAGTTGGAGAAGAAGGAAACAACTGCGTCTGAGGTTAGCCAGATGGAGGAGGGGGGAGAGGGGTGTATGGGTGGAGTGAGGGAGGAAGAGGAGAGACGAAGAGGGTGACAGAGGGAGGGAGGAAGGAAGGGACAGAAGTCAGCTCGTGTCGTCAAACTTACCTTTGCTTCTTTCGGTGTTGACAGCGCAGAGAGACGGTAGATCATGGAAACTGAACAGTCTGACAGTGGTCTCTGTTTATTTTTATTTTTTTGTCATGCAGTCAGCGACTTCTACTGCACATTCATCTCTCTGTCCATTTATTTGTTAATATGTATATGTATGTCAGTCTGAATAATTGACTGTACATTTTCCTTTATATTAACTTTTCATGGAAACAGTGTCATCAAATGAGAAAAGCAAAAACCACATTTACTAGAGCCTGAATTGATACTGGATCTTTGCGGCTGATATTGATATTTGAGAAAATAAAACAAGATATTGGATAACATTCTTTTTTTTACATAAACACATACATAAACATAAACACACAACCATAACAAGCATTTGTTATAAACGTACGTATAAATAGAGACATACATTTACAGATAATATAAAACAATAAACTTTATAATCAATAATGGCAGTAACTGTCAATAGAAGGTGACAATGAATTTTGTACAATAGACACATTTGAACATTAAATTATTTAAATAATATGTATGAACATATCTACAAAACTATAGTCCCCTTTAATTTAGAAAAATAATGTCAAATATACATAAAATGCAGCCTATAAAACTTTCACAGCTACAGTTTACAGATGTTGATATGTTCGATATTGGATGATAAAACCAACCTGCAGATGTACAGATACACTATCAATGACTATCAATATGGATAAATAAATAAAGTAATTAAACAATTCCATTTATCTGTATTTGTTTAGGAGCCCTGGATCACATTGTGGTGCCGACTCAAGATGGAAAGTTCCCTCTCAACCAGCTGGGTCAGATCTCCATGAAATCACCTCAGCTCATTATGGTCAACATGAGCAGCTTCCCTGAAGTAAGACGATCACACACACACACACACACTTACACACACAAAGAGCCAAGCACAAGAACCCACACCGGATACAGATTCTCCCTACTAGTATTTGTTTGTCTCATACAGACAAGAACACAGTAACTAAAAGCTTTGTAAAAATAATCCAAAGCACAGACAGATAGACAGTCCTCACTGAAGGAAAAGTGAGCCAGACCAGAATCCCACATCAGTGTGTGTAAATGAAACCTGACCTGCCTCTCTCCCTCCCACTGTGTCTCAGATGCTAATTGATTGATGACTCGGGGAGCTCTTTGTTCTGGGGTGAAAGATAGCAACAAGAACCTAAACTCTGTGTGTGCTTGCACAGAGATGTGGTTAAGCCTGTGTGTGAGTTGTCACAGAATAGGAAATGACCTCATTTTACCCTCAGGTTAGGAAGGAATAGATTATTTTTCTTTTTTCAATCCTTTTTCTCTCCCTCTTGCTTTGTAGATGATACAATGCTGTCCTAATCAGAGCTCCAGATAGAAATTTTGCACATGGGGGCAAAGCAGAGTTTTAGTGGCCAGACTTTCCGGTGGTCTGGAAAATCTAAATGTGCTTTTTTAGCACTTAACACAACATTATGCAATCATATGTTGACAGACTGTCAGTACTCATGATAGTATATTCTCATTCTCTATGTACTCATAGTTCTTTTTGAGCTCATTAGCCATTGAGCTAATAAACAAGTAGCCTGTATAGTGTTTTGTTTGAGATGCAAAGTTCAAGTCTTTTAGTGAAAGTTTTGCTCAAAGGGCTGTGAAAAAGAGACTAAACTGGTATGTAAAACACCATGTAAACACACATTTCATAAGTTTATATGCATGGTATGGTAAAAGTGTGACAAACTCAAAGCTTTAGCATAGCTTTATTATGAAAATCCAAAAGAACAAAGAGACAAGAATGAAGCATTTGTACGTACCACCTGACAACTGAAGTCTGTTGAGATGCATAGGAATAATGAAAGACACCACCTTACAAGTGATGCTGGCTTCTATACTGTAATATGTTACTCAGAGGCCAAAATGCAGAATAAAACATGACTGTAGCAGCAGCGTGAGGCTTTGAGCTAAATGCTAACATCAGCATGCTGAAAATGACAATGCCAACATGCTGGTGTTTAGAAGGTTTAATGTTTAGACTGTGTTCCCCATCTTAGTTTAGCGTATTAGCATGATGATATTTCCTTATTAGCAATAAACAAAACGTACAACTGAGGCAGATTGGAATGGCAATTTTATTTGGTATTTGTTCATAAACCAAAGTGTCAAATATCGTATGTTGCAAATTTCATGGCAATTCATCCAATAGGTGTTGAGACATTTAACCCAGAACAACCCAAAATTTCAACATCATTGTGGCACTAGTGGGATTGTCAGGATCACTAGGATTCATATTCTGGGGATCATGAATTTTTGTACCAAATTTTGTGCCAATCCTTCCAGTAGATGTTGAGATATTTCTCAGGATAATTGGAAACTTTGACTTTGGGGACCATGAATGCCTGTATAAAATATCATGGAAATCCATCCATCAGTTACAGAGATATTTCAGTCTGGACCAAAGTGGTGGACCAACCGGCTGACATTGCCATTCCATTAGCATGACTAAAATAGACACAATAAAATAGGTAGAGGGAATAAATAAAGATTAAGATCTTATAGACAAGCAATTACACATTCTAACACAATATTGTAACCTGTTCCACAGTTAAGCGACTGTGTTCCTACAAATTTACAGTAGTTCTTGAAGAATTCAAAGATATTAACCAGTTTTTGTAAGCGTAAATGACATTGAAAGGAAGTTTGTTCTTGTGGAGAACCACCTGTCTGTTACAATAAAAAAAAAAAACTGCTTTTGCAAATATCTTCCTCCACCTTCTGTTTTTCTACCAGTCACCGTTTTTTAACATTGGGGGTTGTGGTTTCACCTTTTTGTTCTCCTTTGTACCAATATCACAAAACAACTTGCAAATCTAAGTAATTATCAGCATCTCAAATCTGGAATCCAGCCCTCAACCTGAATCGGGCTGAATGGTCCACCGGTGAGTCTTTTTCCTTCCCCGAAACTCCGACCACAGACCACACACGAGGCAACAGACACACTCATGCACACACATGCTATCCTGTCGTGCCCTGTGTTACCCATGTCCCACACAGGGGTGAGTCCTCACTACCCAGACCTAATAGGCTTATAATGATGTCTATCCATTACCAGGCACTCCAGAGGCCCTACCATTGTTTTCCATTCATTCATTAGGAGCGGCCTGGGAAGACACAGTGGAACTAACAACAGCTAACAGCTTTAGATCAGGAGGCAATTTGGTGTATGTGCGTGTTTAAGCATCCCATCACTTTTTTCTTAAAGTAAAACTTTGTTTTCTTCGGGACTCCCTTTTAATACATGTACACACACACACACACACACACAAGCTCTCACACACATTCCACTACACTCGCCTCTTTGCTTTGAACCGGGCCATCAGCGTTTGATGTGAAACTTCAGTGTAATTTCTCTTCCTCTCAAACATATTAACCAGAGCCTGCTCGGCCTTTCCAGAGAAATTCCGCTCGGTTTTCCGTAACCACCGGAGTGAACGTCGGAGAGGGGAAACGGTGATGAATTTGATGCTGAGAACAATCAAACATAGGTATGGGCTGAATCTATCACCCCACACTCAAAGGGAGCAACCAGAGGCCTGCACTCCGGATGATTTTAACATAGGAAAAGAAACTTCATGAATTAATTTAATGCACACAAATAAATTCCTTTAATCTCTCTGCCATTTCTTTCCCTCAGCGGAAGAGGCCAGAGGGAGCTGTCGAGAAAGGGGAGTAGGGTAGAAAGAGGTTTTTTAAAAAAAGAAGAGGAAATGATTCGCTCTTATTCCTTGCATTGCTCATTTGCACACTTTGTAAAGCTCAGCTAAGGGAATTGTCATGTGGTTGCAGAATTGGTTTGAGGAGTGTGACTTTGTTTTCAGTGATTCAAAGGATTTGGCTTCCTCCCCCTTGTGTGTATGAACTGTTTAACTGCAGCTCTCTGGTTTTAATGTAGTGTTTGCTGGGCCGAGGGATTGTGTTGTATATGGTGGATAATGTCTTTATGTTTCACATATGTGAAAGCTGTTTTAATATTTACCAACGAGTTTCATGCAAGCTTCTTTTTCTGCTGCTTGCTCTGTCTGCCAAACAAATAGAAATAACATTTTAAATAAAATTACAAAGAGCTCAAAGTTTGCTAATATTATCAAAGTATTTTATGACTGTAAAGCAACACTTTTCAGAACCTCTCAACATCTTTGTCTGATCTTGTGTTGAGATATCATGTAGCATTTACAGCACAGCTGCCTCTCCAGCCAGTGTCCACACTTGTTCCCACCCAAAACACATAATGCTCTTCTTGTCATTCCCCTCTGATTATCTCCGTCCTTTATAAAGATGACAGATGGTGTTTTGGAAATATTGGCTTTGTTTTTTATGAAGATATTTTGGACAACAGCTGAGAAGAATGACATTTTGTGCAGATGTTTAGACCAGTGATAGTTTAGACCAAGTTTACATAAGGCAGCAGTAATTTTTGACTAGAACTAAACTGACATATCGGTTGATGTGTACATGCTTAACTGTATATGTCGGAGTAGCAAGAAATTGCAGTTCAGAAATGCCAAAGTAGGTTCGACATAATTTAATAACAGTGTGTTTGTCCACCAGAAGCGAGGTGAATTTTCAACTGTAAAATATCCTTCACAATGTCCTGGTCACAATTCTTTAAAAATATAAATCTATGGGATCCGTTTCAAGATTTTTGTAAAAGTTATGTGTTTGTGTTAAAAAAAAAATTGATTACTATTGGTTGATCAATATCAGTATCGGTCTTAGAAATTCTTGATTTGTGCTCCTAATATAGTGTAACTAATGTGTAGCTAATCTCGGAAATCAGTTTTGGTGATCAGATCATTGCTGTGTCACGATTGTATTTACACAAAGGTTTTTATGCCACAAACAACATTAGACATGTTGATTCCAGATTTAAAAGGAATCTCATGCATTTTCGCTGGTTTGAGACTGATCGTGACTGAATCGCCTTTCAGTAAAAACATTGCAGTAGTAGACATTGTAGTGCTTGAATCTGTGTCAACATTAAATACACATACACACCCCGAAGCACAACTGTGTATATGTTTGCGTGTGCATGTGTGGGTATCCATGTATCATACACAAGCACAAGCAGACTCTCCTATGAGGTCACCAGGGGTCAGCGCCCTGCCCTGCAACCCCTCAGTCTCGTCCCACAGGGCCGAGCGCTGACAGTGGCCCGAGGCACTTCCACACTGCATGGGCTTCCCCTGACACACACACACAAACACACTCACACACATCACCCAAACACACACATACACACACTACATGCACAATATAACACCTTAATGATTGCCAGCTGGAGCTGGGCCACTACCTGCAGTTGTATGGTTGCTTTTCAATTCACACCAGTGCTCAAAGCGAAGCACACATTCATGTGTGTGTGTGTGTGTGTGTGTGTGTGTGTTGTGTGGGTTTGTGGTGATGCTGGTGTTGTGTCGTGTGGTGGTGGTGTGTGTGTGTATGTTGTGTTGTGTGTGTGTGTGGTGTGTTGAGTGTGTGTGCTCGCCCCCAGGCTACAGCGGCTGCCACCCGTGCCCTGAGAGAGAGTAGCATGAACTTAAACCCAGAGGTGGACGGGACAATCATCAGGGTGCCCATTCCTAGGTGAGTCTCATTCTCAAACACACACACACACACACACACACATAGCTATGGGCAAACACGTTTTCCTTCTTTTTGATGTTTCTCTTTCACTTTTATTCGTCCTTTATCGCCCCTCTGTTTTCCCATTGCCTCTCTTCGATGTCAACATGTATTTTAACTTCTACTCGTTCAGAAACATTGGGGTGATCAGATTAATCAATGAATTGTCAAAATTTTAATTGTAGTTATTTTTTATAATTATTGTTTTGGTGTGTGTGTGTGTGTGTGTGTGTGTGTGTGTGTGTGTGTGTGCGTGTGCGTGTGCGTGTGCGTTTTTTTTTTTTTTTTTACTGTTATCCAGACAGAACAGAAGATTTTAAGAGATATGTCTGGTAACCTGTGACAGACATTTCACATTATTATTACATTATCATAGACCAAATGATTAAAACATAAATCAATGACATCATCAGTACATTATGCAAATTGCCACAGCTAAGCCTCACAGTAGGTCTCACCCATGGTTTTGTATTTCAGTCTATTAATAAAACCCTTAGTCGCCATACACTGAACTGTAACTGACAGATTTATTGACTTTTTCTGTAGAGTTAGAGAGACCCCCAGTGTGTTGATATGTTGAACGGGTCACACACTCTCTCTCTCTCTGCCTCTCTGTCCCTCTCTCTCTCCCTCTCTCTTTTTCTGTCTGCCTAGTCAAACAACTTCACACAAAACTATCTGTCACTCACTCACTAAACCACTGTGTGTGTATATACTGTCTGTTTTTTTTTACATATACACACATGTGTATGTAAGTCTGCATAAATGCCAGCCTGTGTTTATGTGTATGTATGTTTTTGTGTGTGTGTGTGTGTGTGTGTGTGTGTGTGTGTGTGTGTGTGTGTGTGTGTGTGTGCGCACATGGTGCAGCAGGTGTTAGTCTGGCAGAGGAGGGACACAAGAGTCAGACTGCTTTCCCCCTGCAATCAGTCTCGGCACACTCCGAGCCTCCATTTGCATTTCCAAAGAGAAGGCGCTTCTTGATTGGCCCTGGAATCAGTAATTAGGCTGTATTGTTTGCGGTAAATAGACGCTGCACTTGGATTGTTTGCAAATAGTGCCCGAGGCAAAAACAACGAAAAAAAGCCAATTAAGGACAAAAAGTGAGAGTGAAATGGGAAGTATGATTTTTTTTTTTTGAGTGATTAACAAATGCAAAGTTGTTGGGATGACGGATGTTTCAGCTCTCGTCTAAGACCTCGGGAACTGATTGTTGTTACATGGTTGCTACGAGTCAGAACTAAAATGATTAGACTTCATGCCTACGAGCACTTAGCACCCCCCTTTGCATAAGTGAGAACATTATTTCTTCATCATTTTGTTTTTGCACATTTTGTTTCTGTATTTGGTATTTTATGTACATACCAGCACACAGGGACATGAAAAGAGTATGGATGAGCTTGTGTGTGTGTGTGTGTGTGTGTGTGTATGTACTTGTGCGTCGTGTAATCCATTTACTTGTCTCCCACCGATGGTTACTGTCTCAATTTTTTCTTTTTTGCGTGTCATCTTCTATCTTACTATTTGGTCTTCTGTCTTCTCTCCCATCCCACGTCCTCTCTATCTTGCAGAGTAACACGGGAACACAGAGAGAACCTCGCCAAGCTGGCCAAAGAGTTCAGCAACAAGGCTAAAGACTCACTGAGGAGAGTCCGATCTAACTCTGTCGCAAAGGTCAAAAAGGTGAAGGAAGGACACTCAGAGGACACCATACGGCTCATAGAAAAACAGGTGCGAGACGGGGGAAAAGAAAAAAAGACAGAGGCATTCAGTGATCTTCCTAAAGCTTCTTAATTGATAGGACAGACTGACACAGGGACATTTGAAGGAAGGTGGCCAAATGTGAGAGATGAGTCACTAAACTGATGAGACTTAAGAAGGTGATGATGATTAGAGCTAAGACTCTACTGAGACTAAGAGTAAGACCTGAAACTACTGCAGCCGCAGCCCAAACCATCCAATGCTGCAGCTTTTTCTAAAGTGACATTACAACTAAAGCATGAAGTCAGTGCCTAAGAATGAATTTAATATAATAATGGAAGTGTTTTACAATATTTTGGCAGCTCTAAATCAGCACCGTAGAGAAATTCATCATCAGTCCAGTCACATCAGAGCTACATAATGTCATCAAAGATGTGCCCGATACGTGCATTCATAATAGCTCAATTTTTTTTTCCATCTTCCCCCTCTGTCTTCACAGATTCAGCAGATGGCAGACAACATTACTGTGGATATTGACAAACTGCTTGCAGCCAAGGCCAAGGAGCTGTTAGGATGACGATGACGGTGATGGTCACGCACATGTTATTATTTTCGATATTGTATCATTTGGTCATAGCTGAACCTACATATGGACATACACAACAGCAGCAACATGGCACTCTTACGATGCTGATAATAGACAGTGACCGGATCACGCTGAGGAGGTAGTTTTTGAATCCCACAGACAAACACGTTGTGGGTCCTGTAGTGCATGTTTGGGTTCTCCTGGCAGACACTGGGCTTCGGTTCCTGCCCACATCACTGGCGAAGATCCTCTCTTCGCTGCTGGGTGATATCTGTGTTTAAACCGTCAGCGCATAAACAGAAATTGGCATGGAAACAACAACAACGACAGACTGCCAGTCACCTCCCTCCTCCCTTGTTACTCTTCCTGTCTTCAAACAAACTCCAACCGAGGGACGAATGGACTTTTAATGGGATTTGCGGGCCTCCTCCTAATCAAACCCTTTGCCACAAGGGCTGTCTGTTTATATAAAACAAGCGCACCCGTCTGAATGTAAACTGGCTGCGGGTTTGTCTTGGTGGCAAAGAGCGAGAGAGAAGGGGAGAGAGGGTTTGTTCCAGAGACGCAGGAGCCAACTGAACAGATATCATTAGCCTGTTGCCAAACATTTGTTTCACATTGATTCAAAGTCTGTTAAAAAATGCACTCAAGAAAAAAAAGCTCTTTAATTTCTGCCCATGTCTAGGATTGATAATATGCCTACTCGCTTTTAAACACAATAAAGTCGGGAAAGTAACATTATTGATGGACTCCATTAAAGAAACACTGCTTTGTACCATGTGCGTCATCTTTCTCTCCCTTGTTTTCTTTTCTTTCTCCCCACTTTTGGTTTGAAGTCGCTCCCTCCTCCATTAGTTAGAGTGATAATGGAGTTTTCCTGTGTACAGACCTCGAGGCCCTGGCGCTAGCACCACAATTGTCCATTAGGAAAAGAGGCTTTTAATGTTCTGCACTTGGCTTTCTTTGTCTTTAAATAGCTGCACTTTTAAAGCCACAGTCAGGAATTGTGGGGCGAGCAGTTGTTCAAACCAGATCAATCACAAGAAATGTTAGAATGAGAAAACCTACCCAGTGACACACACACACACACACACACACACACACACACACACACACACACACACACACACAGGGCTCTGCTTTCATGTATCCGCTGTTTACACCAGCTACAGGCTTTCCGTACTATTATGTGGTTGATGTCATCATCTTTATCATGATTTGTTTTGCTTCCCCTGCTACTGGTCGCAGGCAGCCAAGTTTGCCCACACACTTGTTCTTATAGCCACCCAGTGATTTAACGATCACACCCCTAATTGTGTCTTTATCAGACAGCCTTCTGACTTCGTTCAAATGGAGAAAATGAACAGAGGAATATAGCGACAATGCAGATTTCATGGTGGTTTTTGTCATCTTCTGTGCTACATGGTAGCAGTGCTAAATTGCACACTACAGATTGTGGCTTTATTACATTTGCCTTGGCCCTCTCTCTCCCTCAATGGCTCCGCTTTAATGGCCTAAACAGACCAGAGTCGTTGGATAAACAAGAGTTTAGCAGAAGAGTGGCTGGGTCGGGACAGAGGAGAGGCGGGGTGGAAATGGCAGGTTTTTGTGGTGATTCTAGGTCCATATGTCAGCAATTTGAGGGCATTGTGTACCTTGGCCTAAAACAGAGGCTTCATGATCGATGGAGGGGTGAAAATCTCCCAAGTCCCTGGCGCAGAACACAGACAAGCACAAGGAAATTGCTTTCAGCTGATAGCTTCATTTTGGTTGACATTTATCAAGTGAATTACCCCTGTTCCTTTCAAATGTTTACTACTACTAGCACCGCCTTTTGACGTATGTGTGTGTGCGTGCGTGTGTGTGTGTGTGCGTGTGTGTGTGTGTGTGTGACTACGTTCGTGTGCAAGTGAGAGAGCAATAAAGGTTTGTCTGTGGAAGTTCTGGTGTGTCCTTTGGTGATTCCTCACAAAAATATACAAGTGTAAATTAGTTCAGTAAACGTTTGATTTGATAGTGTGGCCTTTCATCCACTGCTGCTGCATTTAAGGAGAGATTTTAAAGAGCTACACACTTTGAACTTCAACTCACAACAAGCTCTTTTTAAAGCTGTATTTTTACTCACAAGCATCAATGTCTGATGCTTGCACAATAGATCTGCAACTAATGTGCTGTTCAAAGCAAAATTGTTTTCTTTTTCTAATGAGCTTCAAAGTTTTTTCCGATTGGCTGCAGGGTTTGAATTTTGAAATAACAGGAAATGTATTGGTAATGATAAAAATATAATGTAACAGCAATGCAAGTCAGTGAAGTGCCTCTGTAGTGGCAGTTATACGGCAATATCTGGCTAATGTTTGCTAGCATTAGCTAACATACAGTGAGCTACTGGTCATATCAGACCAAGTGAAGTGAAGCAACAGAACCGTTGAGTGCATTAAATTGAGCAAGAGTGCTGTTCAGTGTTTATGGATTCAAGTTTTCATTTGTAAGAAGAATTAGCTGTTTCTTCTTTCAAAAGTTACATAGTCTTGCTTTAAATAATTGAAATGGGAATTTTTGTAAGTGTGCTTGTTGCAGTGTGCTTACTGAATCCAATTTAATCCCTTTACTGCAAGCACAAACATCCGATACAGCCGTGGAAAGAGAACAACTTGCACTCATCCCTGTTCTCCATCTTGGTCTCTCCATCTTTTCTTCATTCTGCCCCATATCTCTACGCTTCATGTTGATTTCTGTATTGCATTATTCATATCTTTTGAGAGAAGCTTGTGACAATGGTCTAATAGCAGTTTGGGGGGGGGGGGCTGCATTATTTTGTATGTCACAATGAAAGAAGAGAGAGAGAATTTATAAATGATGCCCCTCTGCTTGCTCTCTTCCCTTTGTGCTGCCTTTGATTACACCCCGAACATCAAGACGCGCTGCTCCTGCAGGAACTGAACCGCTGAGGAGGCCCGGGAGCCGGGCAGCGACAGAGCAGGCCACTTCAGTGCAGACAGAACTGGATTGATCACACACACACACTCACACACGCGCGCTTCTCATTCCCTCCTTCTCTCTCTCTCCTCATCACCTCTGGAGTGTAAAGTGTGCGTCAGAGTGCGAGAAGCCACCCTGAAGATCTCATCAAGGATCCAATCAGCGCGTGAATGCGAAATGTACTCTCCTCTTGCGATGTGATGATGGGGGGGGGGCATATTGAGAGAGCCTGTCTGGAGCGAAAATCTCTACATATGCAAAGTGAACTTAAATTTTAAATGGATTTGATGTTCACAAGAGTATCTCTGACCCTTTCAGGGATGTAGTAACAGGCTTGGAGGAAAAGAATATGTGCAGATTAGCCTATTAATATTTATAGATGTAATTGGTGGAGCTGTGTGGCATGATGCTTTGTTGTTCCTAGTGTAATGCAGGCCACGATTGGGCCTAATCCAGGTGGGCGCTCTTACTGCCTCTAACAGGGAAATGGCCGGCCATTTTAGGAGGAAGCTGGATATCCTAATAATCAGGTAAACTAATACCGGGCGGTGAGAGTGTTTCCTTCCGGAGCTCTTGGCACGTCAGTCATTCACAGAATTGCTCCTGTCTGGTCTGTGAGCCATTTTAACTCAGTGGAACGTGCGCTCCCTCCCCCCACACGTGCATTTAAAGAGGACCACACGGGCCCCTTTGGATATCCACGAGGAGGCTCCCCAACCATCACAGGGTCCAACCAGACGCTCCAACACACACACACACACACACACCTCCTGCTTCTCAAATCCGAACAAAGCGTTCCTCAGTCTAAAGTGGTTAAACTGTCATTTCAAATCGTCTGGACATCATGATTACCGGCATGGGAGGAATTATATATTTAGCTTTATGTCCGTCGCCATTTCCTCCCCCCGCCCTGATCTGAAGTGACTAGCCAGTAGTGCCCTCGATATTACTATCTCTGAGGAGTTTAAACCTTCCCCCAGGAGACAAGTGTAATCAAGGGCTGCCAGCAGGAGAGAGGGAGAGGGAAGGAGGGAGGAGGATGAGAGGTGTGGGGTGGGTGGGGTTGGAGACCTGCAGTGATGGGATATTGGAGGGAATGACAATGGACCCAATTTACAAATATCTCTGCGTCTAAATCCTTTAAAAGTACTTAAGCACTAAGCCAAAAATAAGAAAAACAAAAGAAGAAGGAAGAAAGTGGTTGGTTTTTTTTTTTTTACATATAATTTTGTCAGTATATCTGCCCAGTATTTTTAGAAAATGATATCCCCTCCTGTTGCTATAACAGACATTTGTCTTTGACCAAACTGTGGTAGGAAAACCAAACCTATATCATTGCTTCTGTTGAAGCAATTAACAGAAAATTTTGAAAATTTTATTAGATGGAGGAAGTGAAATCATTTTCAGACTTTTCTTCTTTTATTGAGGCCAAAAAGCCACTTTTTCTTACAGTAAAACACATTTTAAAACTCTGCTCATGCTGAACTGGTTTCCAATACACATCCAAATTAGTTATTGAAAAACGGGACAGAATAACACAGATGGCTGCACTATTATCAAGAAAAATGATGCAATTCTTGCCTCAAGTTAATTTGTACTAGAGTATCTCCCCACACTGGTATATCTTTTCCAGTTATCTTAAGAAAATAAGATTTTCAGGGCTCAAGAATAAGCAAAAATTGGAAAGATGAAGAGTTTTGCAGTGCAATACCAACTACAAGAAACTGTAGCTCCCATGTGCCGTAGTTGTTGAATGTAAGAAAAAGCATGCATTTACACATAGACATACCGTTCCTTTGGACTGAGTCATTGTTCAGAAAAAATGTGACATTCTCCCTCCTCACACCCCCACCACCACACCCCGAGCTTCCAGCCTGCAGCATCTCATCCATCCTGAAGAGAGTCATTCATCCTCAATAACGTCACTGCTTGCTCATAAATAAAAGTGACCGTTAGGAAAGCAGATGAACGCGTCCAACGGATTGGACAGGAAGCCTGTTAATCTGCAATCCAATCCGGTCCGAGTCTAGTGAAACCCGGCTCAGCTTGGCTGACCCAGGCCTGGGAGGAAGGAAGTGAAGGACTCAGGAAACAGTGTTCAGAGCTTTCACCAGTCATATCCATCACAGTGCATGGTGATGGAAGCGTGTGTGTGTGCGTGTGTGTGTGTGTGTGCGTGTGTGTGTGTGTGTGTGTGTGTGTGTGTGTGTTTGTGTGTGTGTGTCCCTGTTTCACCAGTCATATCCATCACAGGGCTCTGCCTCCACGCCTGGGCAAAAGAACTGGAGAGTCATTAGAGGGGCTGGGCTGCAGGCTGCAGCTCTGCACTTTAACTAAACATCTTTTCCATAAAATAAATGCTTCCAGGTTACTGTGGGTCCCAGAGAACCCAGGTCGCCTTGCTTTTGCTGCCACTCATCTGATCCCAATTACCAAACAGACTGGGTCAGAGCCAGTGGAGAGTATAGCTACAGACTGGAGTTGTGTGGTAAAACACCAGTGAGGACTAGAATGGACCCCACAAGCCAAGTGTGCCATCACGTTGACTTAAATCAACACATCGTCACCCAACATTACCCACCTCGCCCCATCCTCCCTGTGCGCTATGTAGTAAAGAAAAAATGATCTGTAACTGAATACGAGCCATAACACGCATGTCTGTAACCAGTGTTGTTTTTGCCCTTTTTTTGTTTTTGGCTTTAGCTAAAGTCTTAACGTTTAGTATGAGTGAGTATGTGCAGGTGAGTAAGTGTCTGGCTTGAGGACGTTTTAGTGGAACATAAAGCTGTTGTGGTG